AGCATAGATTCTAGTTCCGTGGCTTGCAGCATATTCCATTAGCTATTTGTCGTTGGTGCCCAGTGTTTCAAAACAAGTAAGAATAGCACAAAAATGTGAGGCAAATTAGCCGTGGGGCATCAATTAAACATCTATCAAACAACGGATCGATCCCCCTACTCTCTCCTTCTCTCTCTCTCTCTCTCTCTCTCTCTCTCACACACACACACACACACACACACACAGTTTTTGTCTCTTTCACTAGACTTTATCTACTCGTGTCTTTTTTAATTCGTCTATTTTTAATACAGGGCATCCAGGATTCAGACACTCCTACTCGGTACAATCTAACCATTAGGGCAGTGTTTCAAGGCAACCAAGTTGAGACTAGCCACGATTATGAGTACCTCCTCTCTTGTGACACGACCGTCGATTCCACTGTGACAGAAACAGTTGACGCCACCCCTGCCAACGTGTAAGTATACGAGTGTATTTCCAACAAACATGGAACGTTATTATAACGTTACCATAACGTTTATATAACCGAAAAAAAAACGTTATGGAAAGTTTATAAAACGTCCTGTACGTGCTAGGTTACCACTTTTGTTTACAAACAATTTGTAATAATAATAATAATAATAATAATAATAATAATAATAATTCAACTGGTTGGAGTCTTCCACTCATCATAATATGATGCTTGTTGCTACTGAATAATCTGTCTTCTAATTTATGCCTTTATCAGGGGCGGATTTTGGCCGTCTTCTGGGTCTTCCGGAAGACGGTCAGATTTTCAAGTTTACATTGACGGGTATCTAATTTTTTCTGTCGGAAGACGGTCAAAATGGAGGAAGGATCAACAAATATAATTTGGAAGACTCTCAGAAAATATCTCTGGATCCGCCCCTGTTTATTAATTACCCACTTCAAATGCAGTGGTATTCGAATACAATGCATTGGAATGTAGCGGTGGAACTAACAAAAAAGAGAAGATAGAAATACATTTATAATCATGAAATAACAGAAGACTGAAAAATTAAAAAATATAGATACAGAAAAAAAATAGCGAGGAAGGGAGCGGTGAACATGTAAAGAACGACAATGCAAAATAACGGTATAATTATAGAGGTGTTGTTCAGTTTTAGTTTTCTTATATACTTTTTGGTGATAAATACTTAAATAATATGGCGACTTAAAAGTAAGTAACAACATATGAAGGCCAGGAGAAACCGGTATTGTTTAAAATAATGTTAAATAACCAAATGCCGATGTAGAGGATGAAAACTTTTTTAAGCTCCCCACTGACTTATTACACTACGATAAGATGAAGACAATTACCTAATATCATCCAAATCAATATAAATTAACATATAAGATATAAAATAAAAACAAGAAAACAAAACAATTTACAAAATATAGCTGCGCCCAGGTCAAGTATGTGCCCACTGATATAGCTGCTGGCGACTAAAACTACTCAAATATTCATAATTACATATTAATTTTCATAAACTGACGATAGCGGCATTGCGTAAGGCGTGAGTGACTTCTTGATGCCGACAACAGTACTCATCGTGTTAAAGACAAAGAGGGCTGCGACTACCATTTAATGGCAGTCGGAAAATGTAGTTTGGGTAATGTGCTTGATTTTTAAAATACACTTTGTATACAGGGGCGGGTCCAGGATTTTTTGCAGGGGGGGGGGGGCGCCGATGCGATTTTTGGTATTTTAGTAGGCGAACGGTGCCATTTCGTGTTGTTTAGTACCATAAATCAGCTAGTCAGAATTCTAATTTCAAAAGGGGAATATTAGTGTGATTTTTTCAGAAACCGAAAGTGGGGTCAGGAACCCCGTGATCCCCTTCTAAATCCGCAACTGTTTGTATAGCTGTGTCTTTACTCTACGCAGCACAAAGCAATTTCAATTCGCCAGATACTAATTATCTTGCTAATACCTATTTATTTTGTCTACTGCGATAATTTACTGGTACTTGTTAATATACCATGGAACTACTCAGTAAATATAATGCCCAAAGGTGCACGATACTATGAATTTGCATGTATATATTGAGCCATTTAAGTCACCCCAGATTCGCTTTTGGTTCTAAGATATTCTCAGGTGATGACCTTTGAATAAACGACACTTGAATACAAGAATCTTGGCTACAAACCTAAACTTTCACCCACGGATGACACCAGCCAACCAGACCAGCGGAATGAATTCTACGCCCTTTTCGACAGACCAAAAACTACCCGAAACGAGGAGGCACCCTTCCAGTTGTCAGTTGAAGACACCCGGTTTGGTCTTACAAGATTGAGAGTAAAGAAAGCTGCAGGACCGGATGGGAAAACACCTAGACGGTTGAAATTGTTTAATCTCTCAATTTTAGTGCATCACTCAATGACTAGATTTGGTCACCCAGTGAATAGTCTCCTTATGCCTATGTCATCAAGTCGACTACGGCCATTAAACTCAACTTCCACAAGCACTAAAATAGCTTTTACCCATCAGTAGTCCGTATTTTTAATGAGCAAAATGGATTTGAGTAATTCTTTCTTATTTTATCGACAGATCATATCAATTTTCATTTTCTACTTTTAGGTATAAATATGAGATTATTATTATTATTATTATTATTATTACATAAGACACGTGTGGGAGCTAAAATAAACGGCCACCTTGGATACAAAGGTCCACATAGGCAATAATATTTTTGGCACGAAAAAGTAGGAAATCCGCCGAAAGTCGGAAAATCCCTTCCCTATATCAGTGACACATAGTAGATATCAACAGACAGGTTTTATTTGTATGTTGAGAGTGAACTTTGATAGAATGCTTTGATTTTTAAAATGCACTTTGTATACAGGGGGTAGCTCTATCATTTACTCTCTTTTGCAACATTTTCCACACCATTTTACATCGATGGATTAGAAAAATTCTAAAAAAAAAATTTGAAAGAAAAATCAGTAATATTCCTACCTAGCACAAGTCTTCTACAATGTATTTTATATTGGCCAAAAGAATCCCACGGTGCATTTCTAACACATCATTTTAGTCAAAAGAAATGTGGCAATTAGGGAGAGGTGTGTCGGATTTATGTACATTTATCCAGGGGGTTCAGGAAGTTTGTATTATACTAGATGGCACACACACACACGCGCGCGTGCGCGTTTGGTCATTCATTTTTTTAATATATCTCTTTCAATTTTTAAGGGACTTTCAGGCAGGAACTGCAAATGCTGCTTTGCCTGAAATAACCATGTCTATAAGTGGAAATTTGTATGGCACTAGTGTCACTATGACGGCCACGATGGATAATTCGGGTAAATGTTGTTAGTCTGTATTTTGGGTAGAAAGTCGCTTAATTAAAATGCAATAACTTCAGCTGTCACTATTAACTATTCGATCTTTTCCTTCTTTTTATGAAAGAAACCCTGATTTCTTTCGCTCGGTCCAGGATAGGTATGTCATTCCTGTCATATACTGTAGGTGTAACGTGACAGACAGTCCCCCGTGAAAGAGAGTCCATTGTACAATATCAACCTGTATCTACCTGTTCAATATCTAAATTATACATATTTATTACCGTTGCAAGTGAAATTCGCCAGTCTTCATCTCCATTATGAGAGGGATTCAAAATTGGAGATTTAAAAATCTTAAAAGAGCTTAAAAGATTAAAATTTTGCCAATGGCATTTCGTGTGTTGTACCTTATTAGTAAAAAATAAGTCTCTTCTAAATAGATCAACTATCACTGTGTATTTTGCATGATTAGATACGCTCTGAACATACAACCATAAGATCTGAGCATATTATCATTGCATATTGACTTACGTTTGACAAGAAACTTTCCCGCGGCTAACTGCCTTCACTTCCTTTTAGCTGTGCCTGGGTTGGTATCTTTACGAGCAGCAGAGTGCACTGCCGTAAATCCTGACGACACAGCCATAAGACAACCATTGAGCGCCGATTAGTAAGCACTTTTTCTATACCTACGTATAAACCTAGTATACCTACACATATGCTCTTACCTACATGTACCTGAAAGGGTGGTCGACACACTCATGTAAGTAATATGACCTTGACCAGAGTGAAGCAGAGGCGGCACTTACATACTTTGAAAATACTAGAAATACTTCACATTTGTAACGAAGGCTAGCTCTGATTATTTATTAATATGTATCCCAAACTCGAATTTTATAATATCATTTCAAATTGTAGAAACACTAAAAATAAATAATGATTGTTTGTAAACAAATTAACACCTTTTTTCACACATCATTTAATATTACGGTTAACATATTATTAATTAGATTTAATGCTGCCATGGTATCGTATAAAGTCAATGATCTTTTTCAGTTGTTGGACTTATGAATCTACTCCCCCTTCAGGGTGGACGTTGGCTAATTCGAATCCGTTCGAAATTGTATCTCCGACATTCGAACTGTTTAAGTTTGCTGGAACGTTCAATATTCGATTTGTATGTACTTTCACATTCTGCACGTCTAATACTATAGCGCTTTGCGACCATTCGCTGGCGGAGGTAAGTCACCTTCACATCTCTGTTTATCTTATGCCTATAAGATACATAAGCTGTACTCAGAATAGAAGTTATTACACTTGTGGCAAAGTCCGTGTTATGGTTACTTATAATTGGCTGGCACGCCCCCTCGCAAAGCAACATAGAAAACATCATGGGCCACAAAGTTTTCCCGACTTAACCACAGTACTTAAGTTTCGAGAGGGGGGGGGACGTGCCGGACAATTCGGCTGATTATATGGACTACGCTTTACCAAGAATCCCCGCTTAGATAGATCGATCTTGCTACTGCCATAAAATTTATTCTTAACACAGCCATAAATTTACACAGCATATTAGATAATCAACCATCAAATTTATTCGTTTATTTTTCTACCTGTACATGTAATTATACTAGATTGATTACTGTATCTTTATTGAAGCTGGCCTCTTTGTTTTTAAAATGCGTTTTCTTTTGGATGCTTCTTGATATTGTCCAATTTCAAATTGTTAGAAGGCATAATCTCCTGTTTTTCGGTAAGTCCGTTCCACGGTAAATTCATAAAGCCCCTCTCATTTCTGTCATTGGCCAAAAACCATCCATGTACTGTGATGCATAATCCAGTTGTTTTTGTTTGGTTACTTGTCCTATTAACATTTTTGAAGCATAACCCATTACAGTGCATACTTCTATGATGTGCTACATGACTTATGTTTCATCATAACATCATCTGACGTTTTTAAGGATAATAATCAGTGCGATGCAAAAGATGCTGCCCGCCGTAAGCGGTCCATAAAGACGGCCAACGAAACCTCGCATGAATCTGTTACCGCCAGTGTTATTGTGGAATTTGGAAAAACACCGATTGCGCCTTCGGCAAAATCAGGTACTGACTCTTCAAATCATCTCACAGTTTCTACTTTTACCGTCGAAAATAATTATAATTTCAATATAGTCGAAGATTAACAAGGCGGACATCAATTTTGACGTGTTAATAGATAGCATGGCACCCACTGTGAGGATCAGGTAAGAGAAACAATCGGCGAACGTTTTAACCTGTGATTCGGTGTCAACCCGCACGGCGACTGAGAATTGAAACAAAGCTTTGAGTAAGACAACTTATGGTTATTTGAAGAATGCTTGAATCGTGATGGAACTTTATCATATCAAGAAATTAAAATAGGACTAAAAATTGCAGCGTTATTTAAAGCTGAGTTAAATTCCCAACTTGAGCATAATTATTTTTGATTTTATTATGAACAAAGTCAAAACGTTAAAGTCGTTTTCCAAGTTAATATTCTTATATATATTGTATTTCAGAGGAACCACCGGTCGAAAATTGCAGCAACCAAGAAGTCTTTATTGCCATAACTTCCGTTGTTGCTGTGGTCTTATTCCTTGCCGTGCTTGTTATCGTATTCATGTTTAAGAAGTTGACAAGCCTCAGACGTCAAGATGACAAGCTAGGTGCCACCAATCCTGCGTTTTAACAAGTGGATTTTTAAATGGAATCGACTAACGGACTGCCGCAAATGAAATCATCGTCATTACAACTTCAAGCCAAATATTTAAACTGAATTTAAGCTATGCTATGAGTGCTAAGAGGATTAACGTGAACGTTCTTTATGGTTTTGATATGACGGTTTGTTCATAGAATAAGTGTAACATGGTACTCTGGAAAACCTCAATTGCCAAATTTGCTTATATGTTCCTTTTCAAAAGAACCAACCCCAGTATCGAAACCCTGCAACATCTACAATCTACATGTTGGTCTACCCTAAAAATTCTCCGATATAATCCATTGGTCTACCCGCACTTCTCGCTTTAAACCTCCACAATCCTTCAACTGGGACAAGCAATGTGCAAACCTCACGTGATACGAAGAAATTTCCAAACTGTTATCGGTGTTATTGTAAAACCTCTGTAGTGATCACGCCATGTTAAACTATCTTGTTGTATATTAAGATTTTTGCATTTCCACTAATTTCGTTTCCACTTGGTTGCCCTTTCTTCTGATTCATTTGTGGTATCGATTCGACAAGGACGTTATCTTTGACAATTGTAACCTACGGTAAATAAGAAGGCATGGTGGCCGACAACTTGTATATTACTCAGCACCACGTTATCTTGTTTCTTAAAAAACTAATGAAAACACCGTCTGCTAGATCTGCATGAATTAACATGTAGTGCATTTTCAGTAATTCGAATATTTTAAATGTTTGATTTGTAATTAATAACCATGCTTTTACACGTATGTCATCAGTAATACTTTTGAATTCAACCGTCTTATCGAGCTCCATGAAACCCTTTTTTTTTATTTCCGAGAACAAGATATTGCAGGTGTTGTATGAAACGATCCCCGTTGCAAGAAGATCATGGTTGTAAGGGATAATGCCGTTCTGGTTGCATATTAAATGCACGTACACATCTTTGTACTAATACCTTTACAAGAGCTTGGCGAAAGCACGTTCAAGTAGTCACTTGCATTGTATCAATTTATATACTAGAACTAGAAGGCCTTCTTGTATATTGTTTCTTAAATAACAAATCCTCGGCGTAATTGGCACCAAGGCAACCGATTTGTGAAGGCCCATGTGTGTTGTATCACCTGAAAGTAAGGCAATGAAAATAAGTACCAATCTTCCCCATTGTTCCCTTAGGAAATCTCTGAACAATTCAGTCCACGTGGATTGAACAGTCTGGTGCAAAAGCGGGAAATGGATTGTTCAGCAGAGGCATGGCGACCATGTTATTTTACCTGGTGACACTACATGTATATGTTTATGCATCTGCACTTATTGTGTTGAATGGTATTTTTGTTTTTGGTTAATTAATCGATTTTGATCGCTCGTTTTGTGATGGACGTGTAAGTTACCTGACAATGATAGAACGCAATTAATTACTTTATTTTCTCTTTCTTGTTTTTGCTTTTAAATACAGAATTGCATCAACGATATGCTGTAAATAGAAAGTATATGTGTACTCCCTTCTCACTAGTTGTGATAATTTCTATGTTTTGTTTTGTTTTTCTCTGATCCTCAGCTGTTCGGTTGTTTTCCTGTGTGGATTATGGATTCCAACTCACTAGAGCTTTTCAGATTTTTTCCTAAATCTTTTTATGTTTCGTATACTACCATGAGTTTATAATAAGAAATATTTCGATAAGTCTTTCGATCATGAAAATTACATCGATTACATGCAGTGTAGATGACGAGTGTTCTCTGATAATACACAGGCATATTATTAGATGTAATACCGGTGGTTAAAAGATATTTGACATAATTGGATCCAATTTCACATTTATTGGCTTGGGAAGCGAAATATAATATTCGGAAAGCAAATGAAGTGTTCGTTTTATTATTATTATTATTTTTTTTTTAGTTTTCAGCAGGTTCTTTTTAACGTTTCTTTACAATACAAATAAAGACAAACGGGTATATATCACAAGGCCGATATGATTTAAGTATTGCAATAAGTTTTGATTCTACTATGCAAAACTATTTATTTTCAATGTTTTATGTCGTCAAATATCGATAGATAAAATAATTGGTGAATGGCAATATTTGCAGATTCCTTTATTGTAATTTCTTTTTGACATCGTAATCAAAATAATATGCTGTAATAATATACATGAGCGTCCTCAACATAAAGATTTAAACTCGTACAAAAAGAAACCTCGTAGTCTAGCAATCTGTTGACATCATGTATAAATATCCCTGTTAAGGCTTGACAAAAACCTCATATAAAAAGAAAAGTAGCCTGTTCTTAATCGGAGTGTTTATATATAGAACATCATTTTGATATATTCTATTTCACATTTTTATGAAAAAATCGCTCTGACACAATTTTGGAGATTAATTTTGTGTCAGATTATCCATGCATTTTATCTGCAATGCGATCGCTCCGAAGTCTGTACTAGTAGCTTAATGAAAACCTAATTAGCAGTTGCAGCCTGTTGATGTCCCTTTTCTACACAGGTACCCTCTACCAGGGCGACAGATAGATTTTTTCTGGTAGAGGGTATAGCACAGGAGCTACATCTTTTCTGTTGAAATATATCCCATTGTCGTCTTTTTGGTCTTCTCATGGGTTCTAAGAGCTAGATGGAAGTAAGAAAAGTAAAACAATATTGTGTCCTTTAATATGCCCCTTGTTATGTATTATAGGAACAATAAATTAATTTGAAGGTATGTTTCTTAATGAGAATACATATTATACAAATAACTGATAAATTGGACTGAAGGAATAAGAATTTGCCATCCGTCATTTTTTTAGAAAACAAATTGAAACATTTCAATAGCAAAATCTCTACGGTAGGCTATTTGACGTATTTGACCGCAGAATTTGGTTCAACTTGAGAAACTATAGAGTGTTCCTTTGACAATGAGATTCTTTCCTTTCTTTACTAACCACTTTACTTCAATATACTGATGAAAGCACTGATTTTTGGCCTCTNCGGGAAATGGATTGTTCAGCAGAGGCATGGCGACCATGTTATTTTACCTGGTGACACTACATGTATATGTTTATGCATCTGCACTTATTGTGTTGAATGGTATTTTTGTTTTTGGTTAATTAATCGATTTTGATCGCTCGTTTTGTGATGGACGTGTAAGTTACCTGACAATGATAGAACGCAATTAATTACTTTATTTTCTCTTTCTTGTTTTTGCTTTTAAATACAGAATTGCATCAACGATATGCTGTAAATAGAAAGTATATGTGTACTCCCTTCTCACTAGTTGTGATAATTTCTATGTTTTGTTTTGTTTTTCTCTGATCCTCAGCTGTTCGGTTGTTTTCCTGTGTGGATTATGGATTCCAACTCACTAGAGCTTTTCAGATTTTTTCCTAAATCTTTTTATGTTTCGTATACTACCATGAGTTTATAATAAGAAATATTTCGATAAGTCTTTCGATCATGAAAATTACATCGATTACATGCAGTGTAGATGACGAGTGTTCTCTGATAATACACAGGCATATTATTAGATGTAATACCGGTGGTTAAAAGATATTTGACATAATTGGATCCAATTTCACATTTATTGGCTTGGGAAGCGAAATATAATATTCGGAAAGCAAATGAAGTGTTCGTTTTATTATTATTATTATTTTTTTTTTAGTTTTCAGCAGGTTCTTTTTAACGTTTCTTTACAATACAAATAAAGACAAACGGGTATATATCACAAGGCCGATATGATTTAAGTATTGCAATAAGTTTTGATTCTACTATGCAAAACTATTTATTTTCAATGTTTTATGTCGTCAAATATCGATAGATAAAATAATTGGTGAATGGCAATATTTGCAGATTCCTTTATTGTAATTTCTTTTTGACATCGTAATCAAAATAATATGCTGTAATAATATACATGAGCGTCCTCAACATAAAGATTTAAACTCGTACAAAAAGAAACCTCGTAGTCTAGCAATCTGTTGACATCATGTATAAATATCCCTGTTAAGGCTTGACAAAAACCTCATATAAAAAGAAAAGTAGCCTGTTCTTAATCGGAGTGTTTATATATAGAACATCATTTTGATATATTCTATTTCACATTTTTATGAAAAAATCGCTCTGACACAATTTTGGAGATTAATTTTGTGTCAGATTATCCATGCATTTTATCTGCAATGCGATCGCTCCGAAGTCTGTACTAGTAGCTTAATGAAAACCTAATTAGCAGTTGCAGCCTGTTGATGTCCCTCTTCTACACAGGTACCCTCTACCAGGGCGACAGATAGATTTTTTCTGGTAGAGGGTATAGCACAGGAGCTACATCTTTTCTGTTGAAATATATCCCATTGTCGTCTTTTTGGTCTTCTCATGGGTTCTAAGAGCTAGATGGAAGTAAGAAAAGTAAAACAATATTGTGTCCTTTAATATGCCCCTTGTTATGTATTATAGGAACAATAAATTAATTTGAAGGTATGTTTCTTAATAAGAATACATATTATACAAATAACTGATAAATTGGACTGAAGGAATAAGAATTTGCCATCCGTCATTTTTTTAGAAAACAAATTGAAACATTTCAATAGCAAAATCTCTACGGTAGGCTATTTGACGTATTTGACCGCAGAATTTGGTTCAACTTGAGAAACTATAGAGTGTTCCTTTGACAATGAGATTCTTTCCTTTCTTTACTAACCACTTTACTTCAATATACTGATGAAAGCACTGATTTTTGGCCTCTACTCACCTCTGGCAGAAGAAGACCCTGATGCCCCTTTGTTTTTTGCACCTGCAAAACAACTTGGCAGCCACTGCCACCATGCCGCACGTGCAGCTGACTTCATGAAGCAGTGGAAAATGAACAAAAAAAGGCCCTGAAGGGAGTTAAAGATTGCAAACAGGTAATGGAACACCATAAACTTGGCACTGACGGTGAGGAAAGCGAAGCCCCAAGTGAGCCCCAAAAGCACGACCATGCTGCAGGTGCCCTTGACCTGTGACGCCACTGATGACGTCTTGACACTGGTAATTTTCCTTTGCTTGGCATGACGGCGGATTTGACGAAAGACCAAAATGAAGCTGACGAAATTGAGAACAATCGTCAGTCCAATAGGTGCTATAACTGTGATGTACATGGGGACGGGAGTCAACCAGCAACTGAAAATTCAAAATATAAATAACTTTGATATTATATATACCGGTATCAATTGTTATAGACTCTAAATGAAAAAATTCTATGATCTCAAGTGGGTCTGTTTTACTTAAAAAAAACTTTGGTTAAAGGACCCAGTGTAAGGATTTACCACGAAAAATTCCATGGGGGTAAACAGTACTTTTTCTCTGAATAACCAACCTTTGATCCTCGTTTCCTGACATTACTCTATAACAAATACTAACAGTAAATTAAACAAATAATGCCACATTACATCTGTACTAGTCTCGTTTATATCAATAATAATAATAATAATAATTTAAGAAAAATATCTCTTACAATGTCGCATCATATCCAGTATAGTAACCATAGTGGTCCACATTAATAGCAGTTGTCAGTACTACTACAAAGAGGGGGAAACCTGGAAAGAAATAAACTTATTTTATCATAGCTTTTTTAAAAGATATTAAAATAAATACATTTATATAGCACAGTTTCCAGTCTAATAGACAATTCTTGTAATAGTATCACCATCTGAGGACCTGAATATGTTTACTATTCTGTCTAAGCAAAACTGATTAATCATATATGATATTGAAAGCCCCCCCACCCCCCCCCTAAAAAAAAACAAAATTGCCCAAAACTATGATGCAAGGAGATTGTATAATTACCCAAAATAATACCATAATACTCACCCCAACCAAAAACAGCAAATTTCAGTATCATTTTCCTGAAGTACACGTCAAAGACCTTGACCAGGGCCAGGTACATGTAGAAGGCTTCGACCAGCATCCAGCTCATAGTGGACAGTAGGAAGTAGTGGAGGAAGGCAGCTACTAGCTGTATAGATATATGAATAGGAAATACTACAGTAACTACTACTACTACGGATGCTGCTGCTACCACCAGTACTACAGTGACTTCTTCTAGCACTACAGATAATATGAATAAGAAATACCATAGACATATGGTATATATAAATAGGAACTCTGACCATTGATTAATAAACCTCAATGTTCAAGGCTTTAAACATCAGAACTAAGGAATGTAAGCTCGGCAGATGATTTAAAAAAAGCACTAAAAACTTATTTTTTAAATAAGTGTTATGATTAACCATTTTCACCTTGCACACAATGACATTGCTGAGCTCCTGGGTGCCTGACACAAACATTAAGTTTAGACCAAGTAATGCTACACAAAGGTTTATCAAAATCTTGGCTGGTATGTCCTTCAGAAGCTTTCTGTAAATAAATAAATAAATAAATAAATAAATAAATAAATAAATAAAAATTATTGACTTAAGAGATGTTGAGGGGACCGAAAAGGAAACAACACAGCCCAACCCTTCACCCCATTTCAAAACCTGGTTACACTCTTCTGTCCACTAGAATGATGGACCCGTTTATTAATAATTAAGAAATAGCTTTCAATAATGAAGACCCATAGATATTTAACTTTTGTGGACTATACACTTCATAATTCTCCAAAATTTGAAATACACATAGAGTTTTGGTCTGTAAGCTTGGATCTACTTTCGATCTAAAATTATCCTGTCTATAACCACTCCCTGGTGAACTGAAGCCTTTGTGTGAGCCACCTAGACTTACCTGAATACCACATGTGTTACAATTGTCAGTAACAGTGCTACAGAGCTGATAGCACATCCTACATAAGTTATAATACTCAAAATCTCTCTGTTAATCTTATCAATCTTCACAGCACTGCTGTAGACATCCTGAAGATTTAAGATGCGTTCAAATGAAGTTCACAAGAATGCAAAAATGCCCTGTGTGAAATCACACACACATATTATGCACCTTTCTTTGAATTTTGCTATATAAAACTTTATTTGTCACTGTTTGTTAGACTTCAAATTAAAAACCAAAAGATAAATATAATTATCACACTTATATATAGAATTTTAAATTGACAGTGGATATGACTACAACATTTCATGTCAAAGTGGACGAGTTAATTTGGACGTTTGTTTAATTTGTTATACATAAGCAGTTATCCTGTAACCTCCCCCACCCAGAATGTTAGTGGCTGCACTTACCACTAACAAGGCAAAGTTAGTGAGATGGTTACAATGGCACTCTGTGCTGTTACCCAGAATATCCAGGGCCACTTTACATCCATAGTTTGACCAACCACCTAAACCACCACGGCTGTCAAAGTCCCAGTACACACACTGAGAGTTATTTATCACCTGGGAAAGATGTAAAATAAGGGGTATATACTGTATATAAAAACAGGAAATATTTACTTTTTAAACAACACTGTTGCTTATCATCTAGTACATTACCTATTATGGTAAAGATGCAGGAACATTTTGTAGTTTATATTTGCCTCTCTTTCTCTCTCACTGTATGTATAAGTTAGTTCCACCTTAAATTTGATCAATTAATTTTCAACTTTACATTTTCTGTCACAGTAATGATAGTTTTTTTCTATACTATGCATTATAACAATAATTTTCTACCTGATGCTCATTCAGATGGCGGAAGTACAATCTAATTGGCTCCTTCAAATTCTGGACTTTTTTCCCCACCAGACTTCCTGAGATAATGCGTCCATTGAGGGCCACATAGGATGATGAAGAGGAGCTGTAATCTTCCTTCTGCTCTGAACTGTTACCGTGAGCAGCTAGAACCTGGTAAAACATTTGGTAACCGTATGAATATTTTTTGGGTTTTAGAGTAAACTGTAAGAGCCTTAAAGGCACCAAACATAGTTAGACTCTAAGAACTCAAAAATATCTATAATTGTACAATAAAACTTGACCTATGGTCTTCTTACTAAATAGCCTTATAGTTTTTGTATAAATGCACTCCAACAGTTTTTATTCTTTATATGCAGTGGCACTGATATTCAGGGTTTGAGAAGAGAAAGGTGCTAAAAAGTATTTTGTACATTAGGATCAGGTACTGGTACAGTATATGTAGCTATAATCTTTATCAATATTCAAATCATTCAATCATTCCAGATATTAACATTTACCTCAAAAAAAGTCTCTCTGTTATACACAACAAAGTGAACTCTTTGAGAGGCTGTGGCCATTTTGGAGACATTTTCCCTGACAAACAGTGATCTGGGTATACGAATGGCCACATCAACATTGGAATGAAAAGGTACCTCAGCATTTTTCAAAATCTTGACCTAAAACATATAACATGAAGTATGTAGTAACAATTGATTTGAGCTGAGATTACTATATAAGGCAAAATTATACCATGCAGAGTTATTGAGATACACATAGAATTAAAGATTCTGAATACTTTTGAACTAGTTGAAAAATATCAAGTTATGTATTAATATATACAGATTGACTAATTTGTTAGTGAGTAAATGAGGAAACAGATGAGTTCATAAATAGATGAATATAAACAAATATGATAACATGAAACAAGCATTAAACAAATAAACACAAACACAAATTAGAAAAAAAGCAATATTTTGGACTTTAATAATAAGTAACAAGTCACCTCTAAGCCACCGTTTTCCATTATTGTTTTATCCAGGCTGTCAAGACCAATACCATCAAAGTCTGCATCATCAACAACAACATCAGCCACTGACAGTGCTAAGTTGGGAGTCACCAGGGTCAAATTATTACCATCAAGTTTCATGTTTGCTGCAAACTCTTCAATTACTTCTAAAATTCTGAGAAAAGTTTCCATAAATTCAAAACTGGGGATTTTATTCTTCCTCATTGTCTTTGTAGTGAGCCATCTGCTGTTAAAATGCCAAATTTCCTTGTTCCTTTGCTATTTATAAACTGTGATTGCTTAAATGTGTGCGTGTGTGTGTGTGCGTGTGTGTGTGTGTGTGCATATGTGTGTAAGTATACTCTTGAGTCTCAAACTAGTTGACAACTGACCAACATTTTCATGTATACAAAAGTGCAGACACTAGAATCAAAGTTAAATCCCATTAAGCTTTTTGTCTAATATTTATTTTAGACATAAAAATACATGTATAAATACAATTGTATCTTAGAACTTGAATGCTCACCTAATGGACTGCCATATATACTGCACACACAGTGCCTGAAAAACCTCTCTCACTTACGTTTGTGCAAGTTTAGATGTACAAACACAAACAGGTGACATACACACCTTGTTACTCCCAGTGTTCTTTCCTCAGACTCCAATAAGGCCCCGGGGTCAACATCCATAAGATGACCCACAGTTTGGACGACCTCTCTAGCCACAATGGGGTCATCTGAGGTCAAGGTCACTACTTGAGCCAGCACATCTGTAGTAAGGTCAACATCAATGCTGTCAAATAGTTCACCTTCACCTGATGTCACCTCTGACAGAGTGACAGCAACTTCTCTTGCATTTTCTGAAATGGTGACCAAGATGTTACTCACAATTAAGGTTTTATGATGCTCACGCCTACCAGTACATACAGGTGTATTGCTAATCTCAATGGTTTTGGCTAGAATAATATACTGTATATGTATGTCTACGAATATACACACACACACATATAATTTTAACTTTCTGCAATCATTACACTAAAAAAGCTTACATTTCAATTAAAATAAGCTCCAGCAGATTCTAGAGTCACAAACTGTGAAAAACTTACCTAAGGTGATGCCTTCTGTTTGAAGGCCATGTAGGGTTAAAGTCAACTTTGTAACACAATTACTCAGCTCTGGTTCCTGCCAGAACACAGTGTTTTCCTCAGATATGACACTTATAAAAACAAAAAAAATATATATATATAATATACTTTCTTTTTATTGTTAAATACAACTAAAAAAACTAATATATGTGTAGACCTAAGCTAAAATCTGTATTGCAATGTTTGATTTTTTATGGAAAGTGTGACAAATTTTTAGAATATAAAATGAATGCCACATTCTAAATTATTTTAGAAAAATATGAGGTGAATCTGAAAATCTTTAATACAACACTACCCTAATAGTATTTGGTGTTTGCAGATGCCACTTTTGGCTCACTTTCTAATGCCTGAATTAACTCATATAATTTTGATAAGTGTAAAAAAATTGACAGATATTTATCTATATAGCATGTGGTTTGAAAATAAATATTTTTGTACCATGTCCTTGTGGCATTTGCATTTTCATCAATATGAAATTGGCAAGGTAGATGAACCACCACACTTTTTATGGTGCTGTTGACTTGGGTCAATGGCCATTGGTATCTGCCTTTGACACCAGAGGTCACCTCTGATGCACACTCTCCTGGAATAAAAAAAAATCTTCAATAAATTAACACTGAACATTTAAAGGAGTGTATATATTACATTACATTACATTACATTACATTGTTAACACAGTGACTGTGGTTTGTCTAGTGGACATAAATATATATTACAGGTCTAGGCTGAACCTGATGTGAACTGCGCCAGTTCTCTTATTCTCACCTGTGGAAATTTGTGATGGATTAATGACATATATGGTCAAATTTACAGAGGTTGTGGGGCCATCATATTCCTCAGATTCAGGGGCCTCTCTGCGCTGTCTTTTTTCTATGCAGTGACCTGGGTATACCTAAATTTTAAAAAATAAAAATTAATAAAAAAGTGATTGATTTCATTGTGATTATTATTGTACACAACAGCTACAAAAGGGAAATTAAAGGACCTTTATACAGGGATAAGGACTGTTTCCAAATTAATACGTCCATCTTCCAAGGGAATGTGGACTACAGCACAGGTCTAAAGTAATGAACATGATAATAAGATTATCTTCGCACTTTTACTTTCATAAAACACAAAAACATATTATTGTATTTTTCCACTATACTTACTGAGAAGTCACAATATTGATCAAAGGCTTCCGAGCAGAATGTGACAGTGCAGAGGAAATATACAGAAGTGGCGCCCCCTCTCAGAGCAAAGACATTAAATACAGGTGACATGGCAAACGTGCCATTTCTATTTGACACAAAACCCTGTCCACTTGGCCATATTTCAGGTATGTCAGTGCCACAGCTGGAATATATTCATGAACATATTTTAAATAAGAAAAATGATAACTGCCTATACTTTGGACCCATTATACATAATGTATGTATAGTGGTTCCATGTGCATACAATTAAATTTCGGTATTACTGATTTCTAATTGTACATCCAAAAGACCTCATTTTGTTCTCTTGCAATATCTAAATCCAACTGAATTCCTGTCTAGTCTTTTATTATAATATAGGAAATGGCTTATTATTTATTATTGAAACATTCAAACAATTTCTTGTATATCCTGAGCTTTACATGCAGCACTTAAGCTAAAATATGACACTGATTTTGTTGTTGCAAACAAGTGATTTATCTTACATTTTAATGTAAGTGCAATTAAACTGCAAACTGTCCAATAAAATAGAAGTGGGCAGGATATGTATACAACTCAGGGAGGGTTGGGGCTGTTCAACTGAAGTCCCCCTCCCCCTCCCCTCCCAACACACAGACAAAGCAACACTGTTGAAAACGTATCAGTTGGGAATGGTACAAACATGTAATTTGAACAGTTACTGTTAAAATGAGGTGTTACCATCTAAATGCTTTCAATGAGCTTACTAATCTGAGAGTATGGCTAGCCTGGGACTGATCTCCACTCTTGAAATCTGGACAATACATGATTTAATACGCATCCCAGTAAATCCTGAAATTATAGACAAATCAATATTAATTAACAGTATTTTTATTTATATTTAAAATATAAATCCTCAGCAAAATGACCTTACGTTTTTCTGAGGGAAAATTATTTCATGAACATTATAATATCATTACATCATAACAATCAGTTTTACATAAAGGTGTTTTTAGCCCTATTTTGACTAACAGTGCCCAATGCCAAATGCCAGTGAAAGCGAAAGTGCAAGTAAGCTTGTCCAGTAAAAATCTGTATAACATTCTGTTCCTGGCCACTAGTTCTGCTGAAAGTTTCTAATGTGACAGATTCTGCTGTTCCAAAGGACCTAAATATATAGAATTTAAAATTTTGGACAAAGACTCAGACATATCTCTTGCATTACTTTACAAAGAGAGAGAGAGAGAGAGAGAAGTGGAGAGGAAAAAAAGAGAGAGGGGAAGAGAGGAGGGAGAGGAATGTGTGTGCTCATACAGGTTCCTTACCCCCAAAACCTTTCTTTCCTATCCTCACTCGTAAATGCACAGGTGTTCCAAGCTCTAAAATACTTGGGAGAGCTTTTGCATCTGGCAAAGTTTCTCTGTTTTTGGTCCCCGCTATTGTGTCCATTACGACCTCTGGCTTAAGATCAATAGGGTGGCCTGTTGATAGGCTAAAATATACTTTCTTCATTAAGTTGTCTGTAAATTAGTAAGACTGATGGTTCCAAACATGACAATTCTTTTTTTTCTTATTTTTTATTATTTTTATTGCTAAACCACATAATTAGCAAAAGCATCTGAGCACGTATTGATACAATTGCCTAAAGTAACTTTGATCGAAACATTTTATAAAGGGTTTCCTCAGCTAAATAATAATTTGCAAAAAGCTTTTAGACTGAAACAGTAGTGCTAGTTTAATGTTAGATACTGGCAATCGATTGTCCAACCTCAGCAGTCTCTGGTTTGCCAAATGATTTGTGAAACAAATAATTGCCCAAACTTATTTTTTTTTGTAGATTAAAAAGCCACTCCATGGGATTTCCCTACCCAAATGAAATTTCAGAGGTTCTCTTCACGTATCTGGGCATACTTTGTTTGGTTATGATCTTCTCAGCCATTTCCAGCATGCAACATGCTATTATACATGGTGAAAGGTTGCAATACAAAACACCCCACCATTTTTTTGTGTGAAAACGAGACAGTGCGTGTGATATTAGAGATGATGTTAATTTGACTGTCAGTCATTAAAAATGAAACAAAACATGGAATCTAAGTATAAGGGTGGGTCAAGCAACAATTTGTGAGTAGTAAAAATTGCTCTTCACTCTAGGAAAATTCTGTTTGGTGGGAAAATGTGGGTCAAGCAACAATTTGTGAGTAGTAAAAATTGCTCTTCACTCTAGGAAAATTCTGTTTGGTGGGAAAATGTCCTGGTGGGGCACTTTAAGCTTAGTATCTCGGTCTAAACAGAAACTACAGTGTAAATTACCTCAGTTGACAAAATGTCAACCCATAGCACTGTTGAATGTGCTGCGGTTTCAAATGACTTACTTCCATGGCTGAAGTCCTACATCCAGAGTTGTATTAGTGGCATATTCTTGATATCCACAGTCTATGGTGAAAACTGTGTCTTCTGCCTTACGGATGTATGGATGATGTACAGCAAAAACAACAATAGGCCCACTCTCCTGGAAAAACAATAGTTTACATAACTATTAATAAGTTTGTAAAGATTCATTTTTTGTAAAGAAAATGTATACGTAACTTGATAAATACTCTGTAAAAATTTTAAAGGGTCCAATACACATGTATGATTTTTTCCTGTTTTGTTTCAGAGGAATTAATTACCAAAATACCTTACTGATCTTTAGAGTGTCTTTCTCCTAATTCAAAAAATTCAAACTCAAATTTTGACCAGACAAGCTATAAAGTGATTCTTATTAGTTTTTTACGAGAACAAATCACAATGTAAATGCAGAAACACAAAGCTTACAGAAATACCACATGGATTTCTCGAGGTCACTTCCACCATAAGTTCCAAGTATCCATCTTGGTTTGCACTGTCATCATAGCAACTTCTAGTGTTTTCGGCATCTTTTATATAAATTTTGCTCCATGAAGCAGTTAGGTAATTTGAATGTCTTGAACGAATATAGAATATCCTTCTCCTGTTTGCATCCAGGATACACTGGTAATCCGCTAAAAGGATTGATTCTTAATCATTGGTTATCACAAACAAATTTCAAATGCAGGGGTGGACAGAAGCTGTTTTCTGGGTCTTACGGAAGGCAGTCAGAATTTTTTAAGTTTACATTGATGGGCAACTATTTTTTTCTGTCAGAAGACAGTCAAATGGAGGTTGGATCAACGAAGATAAGTTGGAAGACTATTAGAAAATACCTCTGGATCTCCTAAAGTACCAGTTACTTCAAACATTTCATTATAATTTCAAAATTTAATCTCAAAAATCAAACTTTCATCTTGAAACCAACACAATGCTCTGGACTGTCAGATCATCTTGATTAAGAAAAATGGAGAAAATAATTTTTTTTTTGTCAAATATTTTGAGCATAATAATCAAATGCAAAAAAAGACTAACAGTTGGGAAAAGCCAGTTAAAAATAAAACAATTAGAAAACAACATTACCTGTTTCAGCAACAGCCGCACCAATGAATAAAAGCTGATAAACAGAAACAATATTTATCTTTATAAAACCACTACATTTCTGTGCTGAATGATATTGATATATGACACATTAACTTCATAGTAATCTAAAACACAGTTCATTTGGACAGCAAACATCGTGCCTTATACTAATCTCACATTTTGAAAAGGAAAAGTACATCTGCATTAAGATTTACCATAAGGTAAAGGGTGTAATATCTGGCAGATTATGACCGCACTAATAGTAATATAAAGATCCCAAGACATAAATGTAAACGTTTTAATTTACATTTGTTTTATACATGCATCGATCCAGCCATTCAAAATATTGTATAAGTATGATAGTATTAGTACCAAGGCCGAAAACTGTGACAAAGTCCCTCTTGGCTTTAATTTTACCGTCACGGTCTTAGTGTGATAATTGTCCTAGTGCGGTCTGTTTGTCCGGTAGTCCTCTTTGGTAGATCCCAAATTATGAACGTTTGCTTTCAATCAGCTGATTACAAAAAGCAACAACTTACCACCAGCAGCGGTGCCATCACCACTTCCTGGCTTCAAATCTGCCGCTGAACTCCTTCCGATCGAGTTTCCGCTCTCACCACGTGACACGGATAGAGGGTGGTGATTGGAGTTTCGAGACGCGAGAACTATCTCGCTTATTACTCTGACCACAGGGGTCGCAACTACAGTAGTCTGGTACCAGTAATTGATAGGGCAATTAACGTGCAGTACAACTAGTTTCGTTTGAAACATCAACAATATAGCTACAATATAGTTACACAATTACAAAAGAAGTTGAAAAAATGAAAAAATCATAGATCGCGGTTGAGACCGTCTGCACTTTTTCATTTTTGCTTATTTATTTATCGTTTTGCTTTAAATTATTTATATCTTGCTCTTTCTTCATCTTCCCTCCATCTGCAAACAACGAAATGTACGACACACAGCTAACAGAAATGTGGTCACATGAATTAATTTTTGAAATTTAAAAATAATATCATCGATCATGACAACACCTCCCAAGCTTTTTCTCCCCCCCCCCCAAGTTCTGTACCGCTCGACTTAACGGAGTCACGTGATGACAGCCTCCCCACAATCCCACTGTATATGATTTGGCGTCAGATACGAAGATAGTCAAGCTGGTCGGTCTTGACAATATTTAACCCATAGCTCTTCAGTTGTGGTCGTTTATGACCCTACTCAGAAACGAGTTTAAAAAAGTGCGCACCATGTCAACCGTCTTTATTGCAAAGGCTATAATTTTGCTGGGGGTAAGTGTAAAGCGATAGTGGACTGCGTCAAAAATATGACTCTCGTTTGGTTGTGCACTGTAGGTTTTCTGTGCGCACCGAGTCTACTTTAACTCGTAATAATTCTACTCGTCAATATTTCCTCGACCTGTCCCTGCACTTAAGTTCATTATTTGAATTTGTACCATTTTTAATTAACAGGCACAAGTCCTGTTATTGGGGTTTAAAAGAACCTCAGAGGTTCCCTCTGATTCAAAATTCTATTGCATTTCTCAAGATTGGTCAACAATGGTGGTCAAAAGGTCCACTTTTAAGAATAACTCTCTTTAAATAAACTGGCTTCAGGCATCAGTAACTTAAATGCTTGTGTAATACTGGTAACAGTACCAGTAATTCTTAGTGGATAATGTTTAATTTCTACTGCCATGCCATCCTGGCACATCAGGAGAAAATACTGACATTTTAAGATGCATGTAGCAGTAATATACCCGTTGTTATACACTGAAGAAATAAATACTTACATGTGTTTAATTTTGTTCGTTTTGCTGGATAAAAATTCTGTTTCTTATGCTATATCTCAATGTTTTTCAGAGCATTGCTGTATCAGCATCCCAGAACCTAACAGGTGCAGTATGTTTGTTTTTTTCACAGTCAACTTTATGAACCCTTAGTTTAATTAAATTAATTTCCCTGAATGTCAACATTTTATACTTTATCACAAGGTAAACCATATCCCCAATTGTTGACAAAATTACTATCTACAGTATACTTGCTTTGGGGCCTGAATTTCCCCTTTTTTACTCATTAGATTGGTAAGGTTATGGTGAATTTCACCCTTAATGGCAAACAAAAATTTAGAACTCAAAAACACAGGGAATTGTTAAATGCCATTTAACTCATTTGAACCAAGTTTTTTGCTTCATACATAGAAATTTGAGAGGAATGTGTAACATTTAACAAATTATATACAAATACAAGTAGGCTTGATAATAGCCACATGGTAAAAAATTATAGTGAATTTTAATTCAAACCTCTGGACCCTGTTTTACCCAAGAACTCAAAACACAAGTTGTTCATAACTTCAACATATATTCATTCAAATGGATTTCTACCAGTAATGATTAAAGGGATAATAACTGTTTGCATGAGTTCTGTATGTCACAATAAAAACATTGTGAACAACTCATAGAAATATAATATATTCTGTTTTACCACAAAAACAGCAGTTATAGCTATTATTCTGATACCTGAGCTTGTCTTTAGACCACGTGACCTCCAAAGATGGCTATACTCTGTTATAATCTCTTAAGAGATTATAACAAAAAAAAAAAAAAAACTTTTTAGAAAAAAAAACAGGGACTAACTTTGAATGTAAAACTGGATTCATTAACCATTGGTAAGTATGGGAAAATTGTTGTTTACTCCAGGGAAATTCATTTTTTGGCCAAAACGAAGAGTTATTATCCCTTTAATGATGTGTCAAGGTGAGGTAAGAAGTGGAAAATTTAACTTTCATTTTGTGACCCCAGCACTTGTTGGATGAATGTCTGCACATGCACTGTTAGTCCTGCCTTAATATTTTCAAATTTTCAGCATCATACATGTGTTACCAAGAAGATGGCTCCAAGTTTTTTTATTTGCGTGTTAGTAATGAGCGCCATGATCAGTGGAGCAAAGTGTATGTCGATGGTGCTGAACAAAGTCCTGGTTGCCATGCCAACACCAGCTTTCCTGAAAATCAGACAGTTGATGGTGGATCAGGAATACAAGTAGAACATTCATCATCCTCTTTCCTAGAGCTGAGAATTAACATTACTTCACAGAATAACTGTAATCTGACAGTAGGTTTTGTCTTTTGTTATTCTGATTTAACGGATCTCGGATGTTTTCGTCTTTTTTTCATTAAAATGTCATAGAGGTAAAGGGGCCAAATAATTTGTCAGTGTGAAAAATATGAGTGGTAAAATAAAGATAATCTTTTGCCTTGAATTCTTATGTGAAATTTGTACCCTATCACCTTTCATACCATTACTATTATTGTAATGTAAATCCAGATTCTGCAAAAAATCCTAGTTTTAATGTACCTGCATTTTACAAAAAAAAATTTAAATGAACTATGGTCAGTGGTTTTAAGAAGTCCAAAACATGTTTAACCAATTATAAGAGAACTATTTGGTCGACAATCCTCATACAGTAGGGAGATTGTAAAATTGTTCTTCCATTTTAATATATTTTTGTTTCATTAATTAAAAATTATATCATATTTCTATATTACTTATTTAGGAGGAATCTAATATCATTGTTTATGCCAGAAAAGACCAACAGATCAACACAGAGAGGGACTATGTTTTCTTCATAAGTAGTTCTGACTGTACATATGAGGAGTATCTTTCTGAAGTTTCTGTGGAGGTCCAGAGTATTCCAGCATTGTAAGTAAACAGGGCACCTCAGCATTCCTGCTTGTAGTATGTTGTATAGCACATGGCATTTGTTTTTGTACTTTTAAAATATCTTCCTTATGAAATAAGAGAAAAAGCCGTGTACATATTTCATGTTCTCGTGGTTCTGGCACTATGAACATATTCATGAAGTTCAACATTTCCCATGGTGCATTCAATATATAGTTCCATGGTACCATCAAAACTAGACAACGTGAACACAATATTTTTATGGTTCGAAAAATATTACCTTGGTACATTCAATATAATTCGAGTGAGGTGCACTCAATATATCAAAATACTTGGCGATTACATCTTTTTTCAAATTAAAAAATAATATACCTGTTTATATATGTATAATGGACATAATTCAAAAACTTATAAACAGTTTATTACTTATTATATTAAGTATTTTGTTTTTATATATTCATGAACATGCAGATTCTAATCTTATAATTTATTGTATTTTTATTTGTTCATGTTCCCTTTATCAATTTATTTCATTTATTGATTGATTTATTCCGACACTAACTTAGTTAGTCTCAATAATAATAATAATAATAATAATAATAATAAAAATAATAATAATATCTGTATCAGTGCCATAAAAGGAAGGGCAGTGCAGCATGACTTTCAGCCCAGAATGCAGATAGTGCCAGGGAACATAACGGCAAGTGATGTACTTAATTCAGTGGAGTGGGGGAATATCAGCACCCCTGGTCCTCTCCATATTGGGACACCTGTCTGTCTCTTGATACAAGGAAGTCAGATGGGAGGTTTGATATTTTTCTGTCCTTTTGATATGTAAAACATCAGAGGAAAGGAAATGTTTGATATCTTGATTTAAGTTTGTTTTGTAATCTTTTCAGGAATAATTATTAAGACCCTATTAAGCCTCTACCAGGGTCTCAGATTGATTTTTCACCAGATACTGAAAGAATAAGTGGCTAACTCATGACACGCTCCTCTCCACGGGCTAAAGAAAAATGCACATATTATTTTTCCGTTGTTCTGGTAGAGGGAAGCCATCATTCAACATTCATATCCATTTCTCAATATCTTCATTATATGGCTGATATCAATGACCATGCAGTAGAGGACACACAAAAACATTTGGGTGCCATCATTCTGTAGACCCCTTTTTGTCCCTGTTGATCAGTTTTATATATTTATTCCAACTGATTACATTTGATAATATGAAGATGGCTGTAGGGTGTTTGATCTATAATAAAGAATTCATTATTCTCTGTATAAATTTGCCAAAGGATTCCAAGCACTGAGGGTTCGTTCCTGCATTGTACAACCAAGCAACAATGACTCTTCTCTACAAATTTCTATGCTGTCAGATTAGTAAGTAGAGTACACTAATATGATGTTTTTATCCAGACTTGAAATAAGACTTAATAAATGACCTGTAGTAATGTTGATTAAAAAATTTTTGAAAAGTCAGTTGGCTCTATGTCAGAAGGTACAATTTTGAGTAACAAATAATGATAAATCTCCAATTTAAAGTAAGACAAGTGAGAAATTTTAATTGATTACTGCACATTTTATAGCATGCCTTTATTTTTAAAAAATCAATTTCTGTAAAATATTACAGTTGTGGAACTGGCAGAGGAAAACCATCGCCAGAGAAATGGTCAGAGTTCAGTGGTTTTATTGGAGCCGCAGCCTCTCCTGGGGAGTTTTCTGCAGTGTCACCACCTTTCCAGCTGTTTTCATTCAGAGGTGGCAATACCAGTGTGTATTTTATGTGTACAGTGACATTCTGCCAGTCTGCCACCAACAACCGCTGTTTTCATATGGTAATTATAATTGTTTATTAGCCCTTAATCGCATATATGAATTTTTTTCTCCTCAATTTTCATATTTTTATTGTAGATAACCTGTGCTGATTTAAACTGTTACATTTATTTATTTTTCTTTTAAACTGGATTTAAGGTATGTGTTTTGTACCAGAGTAAGGAATTTGATGCAATTTTGTAATCATTTATTAAAAAATTCTCCACCTGTTTATTGTGACATTAAATTTCATATGTGTTGACCAGAATTGTGATCAACTTGTCTGCACCCAGAGTTTCATATTGTCAGTACTATGTGACTTTGGGCAAGAACTATTGACCATAAATTTGTTGTAACATATATACTTTGGGAAGAGAAAGGTCATTGTCAGTACTTAGACACTCTGAGTGAGACCTATAGAGACCATTAACTTATTCTACATGTAGCATCTACTCTGTGCAGAGTAAGGTCATTGCCAGAACTCTGTAACATAGGGTTATAATACCAGTAGGTATTATGTCAAAACAAACAATTTTACATGTGAATCATATTATAATAGGATTTTTCTTTCAACTAGGGAGTAACTAATGGCAGCTATAGTCAGTGCAGTTTCAGAGAACCACACAGAAGACAGCGACGGTCAAGTAGATTCCAGGCCAATGACCAGTCCATGGCAGTGGGGATGACTGTGCATATCACCAGTGATGCCTCTGAAACGGGTGACAGAATCTGTTCTTCTTAGCTTGGTTCCTCAAAATGATTCAATAAAAAATCTGACCAGAGATACTTTGACATAATTTAAAACACCTTAAAAGCTAAGTTTGCTTTTCTTAAATATTTGATGGAGAGGTGATATTAATGTGTTTCCTTTCAATCATAGGTGATACAGCAGCTGTCTTGGAACAAGGAAATGTCAGCAGCCAAAAGAAGTTTCTGGATATCATGATTTCTCTGTCATTCGTGGGTACAGCCCTCCTGATTGCTGTAGTAATTTTATGCTGCATGCTTGTTTTTCAAAAGAAACGGCAAACCTGTGCAAGAAAAGCAAATCTTGTTATTGGAGCATGGAAGGAGATGTATTTGCTGCACAGGTACTGGAGAAGTGATGATTCCATACCTGGAAGGCATATCACTTGGGCAAAGAATACTTAAAACCAAGCATGTTGTTGCATCTCAGGTCCATTTTGCACCATGTCATATCTACACTGTACCACCTTCCTATTATAATTTCCAAATAAAAAAATTGAGGTTTTTGTTCAGCTTCGAAAAAACCAGGCTTCCAAATGGTGAATGGTGCTTTTCAGAAAAAGGTTATATTTCAGTTGGTGAAATGGATTTTTTTTTATCATTGTCTGTTGTGTCACTTTCATAATTAAAAATTATGCTTTTTCTAGAGACAAAACATTTTTATATCTCTCAGTTTTTCTACCAGTCATGAGATCAAAGACCTGTTCAGGAAGAGATGAAATGCTTAGAGGCTTAGTCCCTTTAGAAATTTACTTCCTTATCAAAGGTAATGAAGTTTAGATGTTGTTGTTATGTTTAAACACCCTTGACTTGTGAAAATGCATATTTTTGTTGAGTTTAAGATTTGTTAATACAGATATTCCTTTACTCGGGAATTTATTTTTACATGTTTTGGGAGATTTGTATGGCTAACCCATATTTGAAAGTTTTCATAGTTTAGGTTCATCTTAATCCCATCTTTTATAATCAAGTTTTCTATTGGAACTCTTGATTGTTTTGCACTTGTTATATCTCCAGAATATTTTATGCACATAACAATTCTTTACAAAGAAAAGACCACATTGAAGACTTTACTACTTCCTTTCATTTGTGTTTTTGTTTGTATTTAGCCATTGAATGAATTATGAAAAAGTGCATTAAGTATTATCGACTCTAAAAATGTCTTTGTTCATAATCTTGCTAAATGGAAAATTGCAATGAATAAAGGAAGTTACGAATTATTAGCATTTTCTTCCTGAAAAAGCAAACATTGTCAAGTACAGCAAATGTTTCTGTAGCCAGTGTTTGACATAAATAAATAAATGATACTGAATGAACAAGTGCTTTAAGAGAGACTGAATTAAATACATTACATTTTGAATCAGATTTTTATTTGAAGTACTCAAAATGGCAGTGTAACATACTCATTACTGATAAAAATTTTGTGGAGATAGCCACTTTATTAACATTTTCTGGAAAATCTAATAAATGGGAATATGTTACACAACTGCGCTTTAAATCAAAATAATTTGCTCCAAATAAGTTACTTGAAATGTCAAATTTAAACAATGTCAAATATGATGACAAAGTGAGACTTGGTGTAAAATTCTTGGTATTTCAATGGCATATTTTAATAAAGTAAACATATATTGTAATTGTATGTCCCTGAATTTGATTTCTGGTACAATATTGACTATTAATGTCATTACCGAATGTAATTTAAAGTATTTGTTCATTAAACTACCACTACTACTTTCAAATACCATACTAGTGAACTGGTTCATTTAACAAAGTAAAGATTTCTTAACTGATGGCTTTAACTAACTGACCCCAGGATGAGGTAGGACAGACTATTTGCCACACTAAATGTCGGACCGTTTCACCTCTCTTACCACTGCAACATTTTAAACTACCTGTGAAATTCTTGAATTATTCCTTTTGGTTGAACTAAAGAGAAAGGAACCAAATAACTGAAGCATTCTTTTCCATGGATGTGGACTGTTATCATGGTGTGGGAATTATTATGACAACACTGCCTAACTGTGTTCATTATCTTCACGCATGATGCACAGAAGAGGGCCGTTTTCTTCCTTAAAACCAACAGCTTTCAGTGTATTCACAGAATACAAAATGCTCTAAGCTTAACAAAAAGATATTTTTTAGTGATTCAGAAACTGGTTCAGACATTAAAACATGTCAATGAAGACTGCATAAGTATTACAAAATGGGAAATCATTTAAGTACGATTCATGTGTTTCTTCACAACTCTAGTCTCATTTACTGCTCCACAATTTTACCAAGCAAGATCTAAACAGAACCAGGTAGCTCTGCCAAAGCAATGGCCATTTCTATAGATTCTGAGGAAACGACATCAGTACTGTTACCAGCCATGGGTGCCCCAACAGCCTCTCCGACAATCTGGCCTTGAGATTGACCTTGACCCTGACCTTCACCTATGTGCTCTTGCATATGGCTTTCCATTTCATTCCAGTTCATGAAGATGTTATTACAAATGGAACACATGTACAGTTCCTGTTCCTTGACCTCTGACCCCTCTGTCCCGTCCATGATTAGGAGCTGTTGGTCACCTTGACCTAAGGTCACTGCACCCTCCTGATGGTTTTCCACATGGACCTGTATGACATCCTGGCTATTACCAATCTAAAGAGATAGAATTAAGGAGAATTTATTAGCTGATTAAACTTTCAAGGCCCACCATGTTATATATATGTATGATGATGTGAATGGATGTTTTCCTTTGACTACCAGTCTGAAACAATTCTGTATGTAAAGAAAGCTATTTCCCACACTTGATCTGAGACTGCTACAGCAGCTACAGTGTAGTGGGTTCACATGCTTTGAGTTCTGTGATCAGGTAATTATATCATGATAGTAGGTACACACAAACTACCATACGTGCTCTAAGCTCTGTGTTCAGGTAGTTATAGTATAACACAGTAAGTACACACAAGCTACCTTCCTGCTCAGAGCTCTATGTTAGGCACTTATATCTTGGTAGCTACACACAAACAACTATATCTACTCATAGCGCTGTGTTAAGACACTGATATCTTAGATTGGATTGGGTACCTTACCTGTTCTGTGCCTCGTACAGCCATCCTCTTCTTCATTGGATAACCAGGGCAACGATGTCTCCTTAAAGTTGACTTCTGTGTGAACACCTTGTGGCAAACTGAGCAATCGTGCTTGCCAATCCCTGTGTGAGTTACCATATGGTAATTCAACTTTACCTAAAACCAATAACAAGCACAGGTAATTTATACTAGTAGTCCATTAAAACTATTTCTGAACATAATTCTAATTAAAATTCATTCCAAGCCAATAGTGCTACCTTATGGAAAAATTATGATGAAAAAAATCCCCATGACCACAGCCTCATAAACATACAAAAACAATAGTGTATGTCAATTCGAAAGTATTCATGTCTCTACAGGCAAGGTCTAAAACAAAACAAAGAGTATAATGCATCATCATATGACACAGTCTGAGCTACAGTGGGGGTTTTCCAAACTCCATCACCCACACAAAATTATATCTTTGCACTCCTACCAGTAAATATCTTAAAAGTGCCTGGCTGTTTGACAAAAGCCTCATACCTGTCCTACTTACAACCAGGTCCTTACACCTTGGCAATGAAATGTCTGATTCAATTATCACTGAATATTCTCAACACAAAATTGCATACCTTAGTTTTGAAGGCCTTGGGGCATACTTCACACTTGAATGGCTTATCGTTCTGATGTGTAAGCAGGTGGTTGCGTAGAGTGAGCCGCAGGGCGTAGGCTTGACCGCAGTGAGGACACACGTGAGGCTTCTCCCCTGTGTGGATATTCTTGTGATCACGCACGTAGAAAGCATTTGCGAATCTTTTGCCGCAAATGTCACATTCATATTTCAGCACCTATTTGAGATAAATAAAAATTACAGAATTTTCTGTGACTATTTTTATTTCATTTCATAACAGGAACTCATTATAATACAAAACTCGATCTTTTCAATGGGGAAAATTATTATCCTTCCCATTGAATAATTATGGAATGATAAAAAAAATTTGAAGTAACATTTTCAGTGCTTTTACTTTTTGAATGTAACTACAAGGTAGCCTATTTTCCCATGTTGCTGCTACTCAATAGGAACATCTTCTAATGTTAAGAATATATGCCTTACAGCATCTGTAAATTCAAAATCTTCCCCCATTGAAAAAATCCAGGCACTACCATATATGCAGCACGGTACCACCCATATATGTGGATAAAATGGGACAACTATTGTCTCTATCAAAAATTCAAGATTTACCCTGACAGAAGCATCCTGATGTGTCTCCATGTGCTCACGCATGCGAACCTTCTCCATGAACCGTTTTCCACAGATAGGACACGCGTGGTTTTTAATCCCTAGATGGCGCTTCAGGTGGGCTTGGAGGTAACGCCGAGAAGCAAACTCTTTGCCACACAGATCACACACGCAACAGTTATCCTTCTGATGAACAACTGAGATGTGTTCCTGAAATAAAAATTTATTCCAAATATGTGAATCTAAGAACTAAAATGGCACAAAAATGTAACAATTTCTTTTTAAAAATTACAAATACTATCCAGAACTAGCTTACCTAGACATTGCTTTAAAAAAACAGCAGTCAGCAAATAGAAATAAATCTTACTGTTTATTTCTTGTGCTTGTCAAAGGAGAGGCCTTTCATCTAACTGATAATAGTTCAAAGATTTGTAATTTCTTGAAGCCAAAATAAGATAAGGTACTGCTAGCAATTTAATCTCAAAATGTTAAAAAATTCTCAACAGGATTTCAACATCTAACATTATAGCAAATTCAAACATAAAACACCAGCCTTAAGAAATCTACCAGCTAAGTTTTGATCATACATTCAATCTTAAAAGGATAACAACTGTTCATTTTGTCCAAAAAATTAATTTTCCTGGGATAATCAATAATAATCCCATGCTTACCAATGGTTAATGAATCCATTTCTACATTCAAAGTTAGTGCCTGTTTTTTTTTTTTTCTAAGAAGTTTGTTTTTTGTAATAATCTCTTTGGAGAGTATAGCCATCTATGGAGGACAAGTGGTGCAATGGCAAGCACAGACTTCGGAACAATTGCTATAACTCCTGTTTTTGTGGTAAAATAGAATGTATATTATTTGCATGAGTTGTTTACAATGTATTTATTGTGAAATACAGATCTCATACGAAGAGTTGTAATCCCTTTAATAGCGTTCAACTAAAGATCTGTATCAAACAGTCACCCAGAGAAACCCTTACCTTGAGATCTGAATCAAAGCCAAACTCCTTGCCACATATGTTACAGAGATGTTTCTCAGTGGGGTGTTTGCGTCCAATGTGCGCCCTGAGGTTCCCTATGTTATTACTGGAATACTGACACTGGGTACACTGGTAGTGTCTGGTCACTGTCTTCCCTTTCTCATAGTGGTCCAACAGGGTATGGTAGAACAGTATCTTATCCACATTGGTGGTAAAAGTGCATCTGGGACACTGCATGCTTCCTGGGGGTTCCTCAGCAGACTTCTTGATGTCAAACTCTGGATGGTCCTGGTGAATGGTCTGTAGGTGGCGCTTTAGGTCATACTCGGACGTTCCAATCCTTCCACAGAACAGGCACTTGTAAGCATCCTCGTGCTCACTGCGCACATGTTTATGCATGTCTGCAACCTCTCCGGTCTCATACGAGCACAGACCACATAGGTAGCGTCGGTTGGTCTTGCTGGAGCTATCATCTATGGGGTCATAGTCCGGGTCATCTCCCTCACCATTGAGGTCGTCGAGGTCACTCTCGTCGCCACTATCTGAGTCAGGTTCATCTGCTGGTTTTTCTACTGGTGCTTCAGTTTCTACAGTCAGCCCTGCCATCTGAGACAAATATTTAATGATAATTTGTGAAAATTTTAACTGCTTGAAAAAAAATGTATAAAAGCTACAATTGATCATTCATATCATCTCTGTTATGCCTTAAAATTCTTAATTCTGAAAAGTTAGTTCATCGAATTTTTTTTTCTTTTTGTGAGAAAAATTATTTGAAAAGAATTTAAACACAGAAGTGCTTGAACTTCTCATATAATACCCAAAACACTATGGGGAGCATTCCATAATGACTTATCTAACAACAGTACCCTCTGTCAAGCAACATGCAAACATGTTGAAAAATACAATAGAGTTGAGTTCATGTACAATATCTTTATAGAAATTAATGCACATACAACTTTCAATTTTTCGGTAGCTTTATTCATGGCTTCCCATGATCCTTGGATAACGTTTTGCCCATCCTCCATGATGGCACACAAGATTCCTGTCTCAGCCGTCAGAGTCTGTAAAACCTCTTTCTGGTCCATGCCAACAGCAGCAAACAATTTGTTGGAAACAATGGCAGTTACTGAGACAAAGATCTGGAAAACAAGATGAGACTCTGAATATCCACAAAATGTGAATGTGACAACAAAATAAGAACATAAGTGAGGCATGTGCAATTTGTGATGATTAATCATAAAAAATAAATTGCAGTGATAAATTGGCTATTAAGTAATTCAAACTTGTAGTTTATAAAATTATTTTATTTAAATCTCCCTTGGTCCATTTCAGACTCATCACTAATATACTAACTGTACAAAAGTGAAATAAAAAGGCACCACTCCCTTCTTCCTATCCAGATTATTACAACAATTTTTCAAATGCACAGTACTTGTTCTAGGGCAATAACTTACATCTGCTTCTGTCAGTGGAGCATCTTTCTCTTCTTCTGGTTTGTTTGTGGATTCCTTCTCCTTGCTGGTTGCAGAGGAAGCAGGTACAGCTGTAAGAACATAGAACCATATGGTATACAGTGGGGAAAAGTTAGGCACTAACCATAATTGACTTTTGCCCTGGAAGGGCATTTTATAACTCCCAATAAATCCAATAAATCAAGCAATCATCTTTCTTACTTAGAAGAAAACAGTATCCTTAATCATCTTGCACATAAAAAACTAATCAGCTGATAAAAATCCACTGCTGAGCACATTATATTAAATAATATTTAAAATTATACCTCTAACCATCAGTTTAAATGTGCTTTATCAAAAAAATATAAATAGATTTTAGTAAAACTACTCACGTGGTTTGTAAGAAAATGTGGGGTCGTGGATCTTCATGTGGTCTACCACTAGATGTCGCCGGCGGAACAAGTCACCACACTCTGGACAGTGATAGTGTGAGGTGGTGGTGCCCTGCTTACACTTCATACGACACAGGGTGAGATACACACCTAAAATGTAAATTTTACATTTGGAAAAAATAATCTTCTATTCTTGAGTTTGATAAGTAGAACAGGAGCACATTTTTCATTTCCATCATTCCTTCTGTCTTCCATCTATACTTAATTTCATTTTTTCCTTTAGTCATACTTATTTATTTATTTATCTATCTATTTACTTATTTGTTTTGCAAGTCAGTTAGGAATGATTACTGTTTAAAATCATTTTGAAAACTGCAGAATTCAGAGCTTACATATTGTTTGTAAGTATGAATACATCTTTTTAAGCATCAGATTAGCTTATGTTCACTCAAAAACTTCACAAGAAAGGTGTTGAATAATTTTTTGTAGCATTTTTTTATCAGATCCTGGTGAAGTGTCAAACAATTAGCTTTTCCGCCCATACAATTATCTTGTGTGAGTGATTTTTCTTTGGGATACATTTGTTTCATTTGGCCAGTACAATTAACAGCCACTAACAATTCTTTCCTGGCAGCACTTAATAATCTTTCTCCCAGCACAACTTTTAGGGTATTTCTTTGCTGACTTTAACATTTAAATACACCCAGAAGCAATGTTTGCAAATATAATCAGAAAATATTGATGAAAAAATTTGCCTAATTTTAAGAAATTAAACATCTTACCATGGTTTCATCTTACCTTTGTATGGTACGGAGTGGTTAATGTGATTTTCCCCGTGGTTCAGAAGATGTGAGGCAGACTGGGGCGGCTTGAAGTACTTCACTGGACACAACGGACAGTGGAAGCCTGACAAACATATTGGAGTTAGACTTAAAGTACAGCTGGCAGAGAAGGCCATGCTCTATTCCATGTAAAGCTAGGTGACTCATGCTTTTTATTACTATGTACACTTGGTAAAATTTAGATAATTTCCTGGGTTAAGTCAGCATGATTTTGAGAGAAAGAGAAAGTGTGTGTGTGTGTGTGTGTGTGCGCGCGTGCGTGTGTGTTTGATAAATAAACTAAATTAGTGCACAGCTAAATAATTATATATATTTAATTAAATAAATAAATAAAAAGGAACTTTCCCTTCAATTTTTTTTTCTGATTATATTAAAATATCTTCTGATCAGTTCTGATCTTTCTGGTTACTCGACTGTAATTCATTTTGTTAAAGTGAATACAAAAATGCCCAAAGTCACAATGAGTGGGAGATATCTGTACTCACCTCTGCAGTGACACTGGGTTCTCTTACACCTCTCAGTCAGAAGGTCATAGGCCGAGGCGATCGTGGCGGGGTTCTGCACCGGGAAGGAATCCAGTGTCTCCCTCTGCTGGGGAGTTGTCTCCAAATGCTGGCGTGACTTGCGAGGGACGCCAGCAACCGAGTCTGAAATGTCCAAACATATAGGGAGAAAACTGACTTTTATAGCTATTTAGTCACTTGTACCAGGTGTGACAGATCATCACATTTAACACTATGCTAGGTATAACTGCATGCACTGAGAAACAGCAATTATAAACAACAACACACGCCAAATGATCCCGTATCCCGTGCACCCTTTTACCTCGTGTCCGCACAGTCCCAAGTTTATGAGCTTTGAGATGAGCTCTCAGCCGCACCCCTTTGGCCTGTATTGACCCACAGAGTGGACAGTGGTAGTGACCAACAGATTTGGTCTTTAGCTTGGGAAGGCAGCTCTTCAGCTTACACAGACAGATCTTTATGCCTAAGAAAGGTAACATAACACTAATCAATTACTTCAAATGATTCAACGGGTGGCAAATGTCTGCAAATTCTGATGGAAATTTACCTGTTAAATAGTTGATAATGCTTATAAATATAAGTTTAAACTTTTTCACTTTCTACATTATATTTTTACACATATGGCCCGGGGCAACACTATTACTGAGACATCAGAGTACAGTGCTCAGTCTAATAGAAACAAACACAAAAGAAGGTCTGGGATTGACTGCAAGCCTTGTGAGGTATAGCTTCACCTAAGTGCAGAAGGTTGCACAAGTGAAAAATTTAATCTTATAAGCAAATGTTTGGAAATACTCTGCATGCATGTAAGGGAAAGTGCAGGGGAGTACCAGATAATAACCCATGGTCAGTCAAAAGTAGTACCTCTGAAGGTGACAGCTGCTGCTACATGAGACTCTATGTGAGTGACCAGTGCAGAGTGCAGCTTGACCTTGGCTGGACACACTGGACAATGGAATAGCTTCCCATGGCAGCTTGGACAAGCACGTTTATTACATCTGCAATATACGACATCATAAATATATTGGTCAACTAGGGGTACAGACAAGGCTTTCTCCATTGATCTGTCCAGAGATTACAGATTCACATTTTGAACTCCGTTTATTCCAAATCCTGGGGAAAACTATGGAAACTGATTTATAGAAAATAAAGGACACTGACATAGCTGACCAATAAAGTTTCGATAATAAGAGGTAAAATAAGTCAAAGGTTGGGTAGCCTTTTTATAACAATAGATAAATAAAACCTGTTAACATTACAAGACTGGGACCCAGACAGGCCATGCATCTTAAAGCTGTGTACAATGCAGCATTACAAATGAGTCAAAATATTACAACTAAACAATAACTTAGAAGACAAAGTAAATGACTAAAAATTAAATACCAAAAAATTATCATATACAAACAATACACTCACCTATGACACTGTCGCAGCATGTCATCCACATCAGTCACCAGGGAGATATGGGGGTGGCTTATAGCATCATGGCCTGTCTGAATATTTGGCCCTGCCCCCTCTGAGGTGGCTTCAATAACAGCCTTGCCCCCCTGGTCACTCCCATCTTGACCCCTGTCAGCTGCTAAAGACTGAACTGTGTTGTCCAGGGTCTGGACAGTGCTGTACTCCATGGAAGGAGGTTCTTCTTCTTCATCCTCCTCATCTGTATATATTACAGCATTAAAAATTACTCTTTTATCCTTTTTTCTTCCTTTTTTAGAAATTTATGTTTTATTAATCCAATCATCTAATTTATTTATTTATGTTTTCAAAATTTTTTTTTTTAACTTTGAAGAAAATATTTGAGCAGGAAAGTGGTTGGGTTTGATGGGGTAGCCATATATGAAGTTCTTGTGGTCAGATGACAGGATTCCAGAATAATTGTAAAAAAACTGGTATTTTGGTGGTAAAATAGACTCTACTATATTTCTATCAGTTGTTTACAATGTATTTATTCTGAAATATGAATCTCATACAAGTACTTGTTACCCTTTTTAATACAGCGTGAACCCACAAATAAATTCATGAAAATCTAACATCTACATCACTTACCGGGAAGGTGGCTGTTCTCAGGTAACTTATCATCTTGGGGATGTTCTGTGACCTTTGAAAGGTCAGAGGTGACTGGAAGGTCACAGTGTACAAGCATATGAGCAACAAGGTTCTTCTTCTTGACCACAGTCTGGCCACAATGTGGACAGTGAAAATGGGCCACACTCTTGTGGGATGAACACCCTTGTTTACAAACTACCAAATATGCATCTGAAATTGGCAGTTATGAGAAGTTTTTAAAAACTTCAGTGTTAATATTTTAATGGGAAAAAAATCAAATAAGTTATAAATATAAAAACTAAAAGTATGACCCATGAAAACAAATTTTTCCAATGAATATATATAAATCCATAACATCATAAAATTAACTTAAAATACATTGGAACATATTTTTGACATACATGTAATTACAATGTATGTAAATAAAAATCTCATCATGTTTATCAGCTTAGGATGAAGGTTTCCCTGTAAAGCCGTCCAGCCTGTACTGAGCTAATTTTGGATGGTCACTGGCCTATATAGAAGGCCTATATTTTCAAAGACAGCTCAGTGGCTTATAAAAATTTTTGGAACATAATGATGGGTTTGGGACTTGATTTGCTTGGGTTGGACCCTGTAAATTGGTGATGAAATAACAGATTCACATACTGGACCCCCTGTACCCCAAATACTCACTGGTATTAATTTTAATACTTTAAAGGAAATAAAAACAACTCACCTTTGTACCATAAAGCAAACTTTATGTGCCACTGCAAGTGCTTGAGAAGAGCTGCCTTATATTTGACTGGCTTGAAATGTTCATTGGGACACACAGCGCAATGCAGCAGGTTACACCGAGCATGCTCACCAGAGGGCAGCAACATGCAAGTATCATCTTCACAAGAAGCCACCAACTCATCCACAGACTTGACGATGCTTTTGTGAGGAAATGCGATATGAAGAAGACTACCCTTTTTCAGCTCTAAAAAAAGAAGCAGAAATGACTTTCAACAGCAAAAAATATGCCCAATTCATGACAGAAGAGCCAAGAGGTGCAGTTCTTAATTGCAGCCTCCCCTCTTGTGAAGGATTTGTCTCAACTGGCCAAGTACTGTACTTGTCAGTGAGTCATGCTTCAAAGAATATCTATCATTTGAAGTAAGACTTGCTCATAAATATATTTCATCAGATTGTACAGCTATTGAGGTATGAACTTGGGATGGATGTTCCATCATAAAATATTGGGACAGTTCTCTTACAAATCTCTTTTTCTACAAGCTAAATCTTATCAATAAGTTTAAATAACCTCTTTAACTTTTATTAAAAAGCTGTAAAATATGGCAGTTGTGTACCCCCTTAATTTCTCCTAATAAATAACTCAAGAGAAAACAAGTGAATATCAAATACCTGCAGATTTATCATCACTGGGCTCATCTGCCTCATCATTTTCTCCACCAGATGGTACTTCCACACTTCCATCAAGATGAGCCGGTTCCAAGTGCCCCAGCAGGTGGTCTATGAAGAGGTCTCTTTCAAGACAGGTGGCAGCACACTCAGGACAGTGCCAGTGGAGGGAGGCCTTCTCACTGGGATTGGGATAGATATCCCCCAGCTGACAGCTCACAAGTTTCTTGTCTGCAATAGATTTAAATAGATATTCTAATTAAGTTAAATTTTCTAACAGTAAGGACAAATCAGGGACAAATCTCACAGCTTGAAAGGATTACTTTTGGCCGAAACCGGGGATACTGGAAACGAATGCGATGGTAAGGTAGAATACATTTCTCTGTGCTCCTAAACTTTTCTTTAAAATAACAGTTTAAAGGTGGTATGAACACCTTGCTTTATTGTCAAGCATTCACCAGTGCATAAAATGGTAAGCATTGCCTGACGGTGGAGATGCCCGGCATGACATTGACACAGCAATCCTCCTATGACCCCAAAAGGTTAGGAAACTGTTTAATTAGCATCATACCAATTACTATTATAATAGTTAGGTGTTTAGCTAAAACTTATAATGATACAGTGAGGCAAGTAGAGTTCTATGATTTCTAGCAACATAATGTACCTTTATAAGGCACAGAATTGTCCATGTGGCCACTGATATGCGTGGAAAACTCCTCCATATTGACAGTTGGCTGGAATGCGGCCACTGGACACAGTGGGCAGTGGCGTCCACCACAGTCACAAAACTCGGGGTCGCAGATGCTAAGTCTGACCAAATCCTGCTGACCACTGACCAGTGAGATGTGAGGGTGCTTGACCGAAGTGACCGTCCCCTTGGCCAAAGCTGAAATTACAACAACAGAGCTTTACTTCATGAAGAATCAGATTTTTCATTTAAAAAAAGCAGTTTGTTTCTGAATTAATAACTGAATGGCTGTTTATTTATCATTAAGTACAGCCTTAATGTATATCAGAAATGGACCAATTATGAACACTTAACTTCAGTTTCGGTGATGGAATCGATATATATATACTGAATGGGAAAAGAACTATGCTTTTTTACTCCTCTTACAAAAAATAAACAGTATATTTGCTATTGTGTTAACATGAGTAAAATACAGATTTAGCTTTGAAAAGTTGCTAAAATGCTAGACATCTGACTGATACATGAAAATGCAAAGGATTTACTTTTCTGTCAAAATATTAAATACCCAACTGGATTTACAGAATGACAATTTCCTTATAAATCTTTCAATCTAGATACCTGCTATTTTTGTATCTGCAGTTTCATCTACGTGTTCCTTTTCTTCTTCCTTCTCTTCTTCTACTACTTCTTTTGCTTCTTCTTGTTCTGCCTCAGTGCTAATTCCTTTCCTTATCTTTTTTATACCTGAAACATATGAGCCCCTGGTCTATATCCTTACAAGCACACTGAACTCAGAAATGAAACTTGAAACATATGGTGCCAAATAAAACATATATTATCTGTAAATAGCACGTAGAATGGGTCATATATTCTCAACTCAGATTAAAGCAATAATAACTCTTCGTTTCAGCCAAAAAATGAATTTTCCTGGAGTAAACAACAATTTTCCCATACTTACCAATGGTTAATGAATCCATTTTTACATTCAAAGTTAGTCCCTGGTTTTTTTCTAAAAAGTTTGTTTTTTTATTAAAATCTCTTAAGAGATTTTAACAGAGTATAGACATCAATGGAGGTCATGTGGTCTAAAGACAAGTTCAAATATCAGAATAAAAGCTATAAATGCTGTTTTTGTGGTAAAACAGAATATATTATATTTCTATGAGTTATTCACAAGGTTTTTATTGTAAAATATAGGTCTCATACGAAGAGTTATTATCCCTTTAAGTGAACCTGAGACTACTGGATCCCTCTTTTCTCCCACCCCCACAATACATACAATTTTCTTAAAACCAAAAGCCCTACTAGTATGCACCCTCAAAATTGGAAAAGGACAACAAAGGCTTGAAGCCCACAGAATATCTTATCATATGTTAAATAGTAAATTAAAGTGGTTGGAGAAAAATCAAAGATGAACATTTTGACCCCCTTTCATTTGTTGCTGTTACATGTATCATGAATTCACCATTTGCAAATTTTATCAAATCTTACGTGAAAGCAATCATGTTAATTTCAAAAAAGACTACATTTAACTGGTGCTACACACACATGCACATACACTTCATTCTTTTCAAGTGAACACAACTTGCTCACATTAAGAGAATATTACAACTCACTCATATTTACTTAGGAAATGATCTGGTTCCTAAGAATCTGGTGAAAACAACCTTGAGAAAATAGTTTAAAAACTTACCATNGTTTTTTTATTAAAATCTCTTAAGAGATTTTAACAGAGTATAGACATCAATGGAGGTCATGTGGTCTAAAGACAAGTTCAAATATCAGAATAAAAGCTATAAATGCTGTTTTTGTGGTAAAACAGAATATATTATATTTCTATGAGTTATTCACAAGGTTTTTATTGTAAAATATAGGTCTCATACGAAGAGTTATTATCCCTTTAAGTGAACCTGAGACTACTGGATCCCTCTTTTCTCCCACCCCCACAATACATACAATTTTCTTAAAACCAAAAGCCCTACTAGTATGCACCCTCAAAATTGGAAAAGGACAACAAAGGCTTGAAGCCCACAGAATATCTTATCATATGTTAAATAGTAAATTAAAGTGGTTGGAGAAAAATCAAAGATGAACATTTTGACCCCCTTTCATTTGTTGCTGTTACATGTATCATGAATTCACCATTTGCAAATTTTATCAAATCTTACGTGAAAGCAATCATGTTAATTTCAAAAAAGACTACATTTAACTGGTGCTACACACACATGCACATACACTTCATTCTTTTCAAGTGAACACAACTTGCTCACATTAAGAGAATATTACAACTCACTCATATTTACTTAGGAAATGATCTGGTTCCTAAGAATCTGGTGAAAACAACCTTGAGAAAATAGTTTAAAAACTTACCATCTTCTGCTAGAGCATTGTAATCAATAGTCTTACGAGTTCTCGAAGACTTTCGTGGTACAAATTCTTCATCTACAGCCAAGTACTTTCGCTTCCTAGACATAGCACCTGGAAAAAAGGTTAGGAGAAGTCACATGCTGATTTTATACTATCTAGAGTTTTTAATGAGCACTTTCATAATTGCTGATGTGAGGGGGGGAAAAGGCAAAGAATCATACACCTAAAGTAACTAGAGGATCAGAGAGGCGATACCACCTCCGGATATTGTACCACCAGCTGGAATAATCCCTTTCAGAGCAAAAATCTCTTTGTAATACTTGTACAGGAGAACATCTCCTTTGATTTAATGATCTTTGCTCCAAATGGACCATACTACCAGTGTTCTTATTCACCTAACTGAGAAACCAGTATCCTCCGCCCCTCTTTTTCTGGTGGTGCCTTGCCTTCATGCAGCACTGCAATGTGGTTGACAATCTGTGGCTTTGATGCCATCGTGTCTCCACATTCGGGACAGTGGAAGTGGCCACGTTTGAATGTCTTGCCTGTTCCAGGACAATCAAGTTTGCACTCACATATGATCAAACCTGTAAAAAATGATAAAGCCTGCTAATATGAAAAAACATAATATATACCTGAAACATTACTGATGTTGCTTCTATACCTGAAACATTATTCATACACTGAACTTTTATTTCTCAGCACTCACATTAGATAGGGAAATTCTATAAGACAAAATAATTACAATGACAGTTTAACAACATGCCTGTTAAAGACTAAAAACCTTCACTGCCTTTAACCAGTTCTTACCTTTATACTTGTAGCTATGCCTGAAGTGCCAGCTCAGGTGTTTTAGAGTCTGTGTCTTGTTGGAAGGTTTGAAGTGTTCTAGTGTACACATTGGGCAGTGGTGTTTGTGACAGCCACAGGACCAGTCAGTGCACCCCGTCAGACGGGGACTCTCGTCACTCCGGAGGATGGAAACATGGGGCTGATGAAGAAGAAAAGTGAGTATGTTGATTACTCTATTAATTCAGAATTGCGGGTCTGTAGACAAGGAGGGGGGGAGGTGATTAAGGTCAGACTAACCTACAAGCTAGGCTGTTGTAAAATCAGACATATGCTACATAAAGCCATGCATGGGTTTCTAAATGCCTGAGGTAGGTTAAATAATAATGTATAATTTTTTCAGTTCACAAAACAACCTACTGTGCACACAGAATTGTGTACACTGGAAGTTGCATGGTCAATGTGATAATTCAAAATTTTGCTTCAAGGCAGAAAACAATCTCTTACATCCTTCTTGCATTCAGAAATCCATATACGCCTTGGCCAATTGACCTCATGATAGTGTGTATAAGAATTCACAATGCCACACAGTAAATGGAGACAAGCAACTCTGTCTACAAAAAAAACTGGTTGCTTTACAGGAGTGTGTGAGTTGAAGCACTAGGTATATTTGTAAGGTAAAGATTTGAGAGAATCACAGTGGTTGTGCAAGCTGGTTGTCACTTTACGCTTTTTTTTTCTGTTATCCTCCAAGTGGTAGTACAGCAGTGTCCGATATGCAGGTGTTAATGGGGGGCGTCTCGATAGTCTGAGGGTTCATTGGTCCGAAGGTTCATTGGTCCGAAAAACGGTAACATTTTCATCGGTTTTTTAATCAAGGGTTCATTGGTCCAAAGGTTCTGTAGTGAACATTCGGACCAATGAACCTTCGGACTGTTGAACCTTCGGACTATTGCTATGGCCCCTGTTAATGTATGAAAATCCGTACAAAAAATGAAGGTATGGTGTGATTTCAAACAAGCACTTGAACAAGTGGAGTTTCGATACAATCCCTTGGTGAGTACCACAGTAAGAATGGAGGTTGGGGCACATAAAAATGTACACTCGGTAAAGACCTAACTGCGTTGCACAGATGAGAATATTTACATTACAAAAAAATGTTTAAGTAAACTGAGCTAATGTGGCATCATGAAAATGAACGTCCATTGAAATATAACGCGGTTCACCATGTTCAATTTGGAATGCTATCATAACTAGAATACCGAGACTACTTTAACCAATAATAAATGTAGGACTCCATACTTTCGAAAGGTTTCATATTAAATATACGATTAAGTTGAAATCGCTTTCAAATTGTATTGGTGATAGATGTTAAATCAGTGCGATGACGACCGCCATTTTAGTCTGCTACAGAGTAAAACCCCACCTGTTTAATTTGGTAATCCTCACTCTCCTCTTCTGCCATCTTCCCTGAATATCGTCAGAGTGATCTACTTATGTTAGTGCTACAGTTTTTTCGTGTTCATCAATTCGTAAAAATACCTAGTATGCAAAATTTCGCGCTGAAACTTTGCACTATGTTACAAGCGCGAGGAAGGTCTTAGGTCTTCCTCACGCGCAAATAAGCTATATATAAAGTAGAGATTGGATAAATAGAACGCCCTAAAATCATAAACGGTTTTAGACTTGTAAAAATTACATTTGCTTTAACATTAGGATAAAAATACATTTGATTTAGAAAAATGTAAATGGGTAAATGATTATTGTCACTCGTATGCTTTATCATTCAATGTGCAATTTACTATTTGATGCTTCCGCATTACGGTAAATGACACATTTATGTACAGCCCGGTATTCTCATACGATGGCAGCTCATGACCTATGTTCACAGCTGGCGGACCTTAAAATACAGCACAGTGCCCCACCCTTATGAAAAAATAATTGAAGGTTTGGGGGGATTTTGGCGGGATTCATATGGCCAAACTTTATGTTCTAATGTAGCTTCTTTTTTTTTTTTAGCTTTATAGGCATTCAGAATACAACCGAGAATAGAAGCATCCATAAGTCTGCGACTACAGCTATCTTACACCGTTACCACAGGCCTGTGATACAATCTGAAAATGTGTAGGAACTGTGGGTGTAACCTAGACAACATTCCCATAGACACCATCGGCCCAGAAGATCGATCCAACTCTGCGGGGAGTCTCGCTGAGTACAATCAGCTTAACTGAATGACCCGCCTTCTCTTAATTGTTTCCAGCGTAGGCCTACTCGTATAGCCTAATCACCAGCTTTTGTGTCAGGAGGAGGCGTCATTCATTTAAGCTGATTGCACTCAGCGAGAGTCCCCGCAGAGTTGGATACGCAGACTGATTTGTCTATGGGAATGGGCCCTAGATGGCGATGTCACAAACTCTTAAAATAATTTCTTTTCAAACCATTTTAAACTTCCTGCTCTTCTAATGGGTTTTGAAGACGGGGGTTTCCCAAATCTTGAAAGTAATTGGCACTTTGCCCAGATAAATTTGTTTTCGTTTCGGTTAAAAGGCCTGCCATTGATGGGAGGCTCTATAGCTACTTTGTTAATCTACTTCAACCGGGAATCATTTTACAAGTTTGTATATATTTTCTTGCTTTGTATTCAACGTCACACTGAACTTAAGTAAGACGACATCAGTGCCTTAAAAGATCAACACGCACATTTAAGTGTTGATTAAAAATGAGGGAGACCCAGCCAAGTTTATTATTTTAGACATTTCACACGCCCCGTTCTTTTTCAATAGGCGGTTATTCCCCCGACGGCTCAGTTGCAAACATTGACATTAAAATTGTCTTTGTTTTGATTGACAAGTAGGCTATATTGCGAAAGCCACTGCGGTTTGGGGAGTATTTTACACTCATAACCTGTTTCAAGGTTAGGGGATATTTTTGAGCCTAAATATTTTTTCGACGTCTGACTTCCCGTAGAGGGTGATGGAGACAAGGCAAATCAAGATGAATATCTAGACTATTCACCAGTCTCCAGGTTTATTAAACAGTAAATAATATGATTCGGCGAGAAGGTGAGAATTAAGCATTTAAAATGCAAATATTGTGGGTATTTTGGCAATAAATACTTAAATACGTGAGAGAGAAAAAAGCCAGCGCCAGAGTATCTATTACTCAATACAAAGTGGGAACAAATAAGGCTCTGATGGTTAAAATATACCATTTATTCACAAATACTGGGTTTACCTTAAAAGCCTTCTGCCAAAACAACTGCGTAATAATGTGTACGTGTTTTGTATTTGTGCACTTGGCTTCGACGACATAGATCACTGACACTTTTCTCTTCACTTCAATCGTCTTGACACACGTTTGTTCGCATTCCCGATTATGAACAATAGGGATAACAAAAAGAAAAATACATTTTAGCTCAAGCAAGCCTAAAATTATGAATTTGTATACTGCGATACTACAGACCAGAGATAACAATCGTAATGCGGCTGTTTACAAACCGGACATATTTTTTCTTTCTATTAAAGCTTTGAAGACAGAGGGAATTTCCGACATTTAAAAATATGGCATTCAGCCAGGACAGAAAAATCTGTAAATAACTTGATTAATAGCTCGGCGAAGTACATAACTTCCTGCAATCGGGGGTTATTTTACGTGAGTAATCGATTTTCAGTGATGGAGAATGTCACGGGTGTAAATTTGGCTGCAGTTCAGGCTATCTGCATCTATTTCTGTAAAAGCGTTCACTGAAATGATATTCTGGCTCCAGTTACAGAGTCATAGTCCTAATGGGGCGAGGATCACAAGCACAATAATTCCCACTATAACTGGGATGGCAATGGTGCGACATCCCCATTTAGCAAATCTGACGCGTTTGAACAACCCCTTCTTCTTTCTGGCTGGTTGATCTTGGGCATCGTCTGATATCAGTGGCGAGTTTGAATTTTCTGAGCTGTTTCTGTTGCGCTTGGGTCGCTTCTGAAGCCTTTTCGACTCTTCCGCCGGGTTTTCGCTGTCAATTTTCCCGTGATCGTTCGTGTCGGTGTCCTTGCTGGAAGTGGAAGGCGAAGATGCGGCAAATGCTGCCATACCTCCAACTAAAAGCATAACAGGGTTTGCCCCTCTGTCGGCATACTTGCGTGTTAAATGAGGATTGTTTACGCGACCACCTCTTTTTGCATATCGCTTTTCTTCGTCTTCTGCTTTACGTGAATCCCAGTCATCGCGACGGTCTCGACTTTCGCGCCTGCATGCCATGGAGCGCTGGTACTGGAAAACTGGATTTACATATATATCAAACTTTCAGCAAATCCTCAGCTTTGGGAATGAATTCGTTTTTAGGATTCAATCTGGAAATACGAAATATATAATAAATGTCATTCCCCTTTAAGATTAAACCACGACCAAGATATTTGATAATTTCAGTTGGCGTTCAGCAATTTGTCTCTTTAATCGAAAACAAAATCTTAGATTTTCGTATTCTTCAGTAATTTTTGCAAACATCCGCCGCACGTTTTTGTGTGTTCTTATGTGCGTGTGGGCGTACGAGAGAGAGAGAGAGAGAGAGAGAGAGAGAGAGTTCAAAACAAGATGGTCCGCAGACTAGCAATGCCGACTAACCCCTTGATGTTCACCCCGCCTGCACACGCGCAGTCCCTGCAGGGGCCTAGAAACTTCGGAGAGGAGATTCAACCCGTCTAATGGCGCGTGTGGGGAGCATCAAAGAATTGGACGGCTTCCTTTTAAGTGAGGTCGGCCATTTTAAGTCTGCGGATCTGTTAGTCATCGGATCATCTTGTTCTGAATGCTTTCAGAGAGAATAAATTGCATGTTTACTGTAAAAACTTACGTAAACTCGGGCCGCTGAACTGGACGAACCCTGTTCCCCTGTCTAGCAAAGCAATTGCTATTAGTGAAGTAATATATGGTGGAAATTCACCAGCCAGACACTCAATAATAAATTAAAATATAAAAAATCAATCGGTGTTATGTACAGGTACTACAAAAGGAATAATCAATCGCTTTTGTGACAACTGATCTGGCGACGTGCCAAGGAAAGGTTTGGCACACACTCATAAAGTAAGCTTACAATTACGTGACGGGTTATCAAGGCACATCACCATACTACAAATTGAAAGTAATCGATTGTGTCGTTATTCCTATGTCTTATAAGCAATAAAGACCATACGAAGTAATATTAAGATTGAAATATTGCATTTTTTCCACTTCCAAGCATCATCACAGCCGTCCAAAATACGTTTAAGCAAATATAATTCTCCACCTATATTTATTCAATATCACATCCCAGTCGGTGCCTAGATGTATATTCCAAGAATGGTTATTTTTATCCAGGTTTAATCAGCTGTGAACAGTATTTTTCAGTGGGTACTAACATCATAATTTGTGAAATGCAAAAAGAAATTCTTTAAAAGCATGTTTTAGGAACACGCATCTTTGTTTGGTCCACTGTATAATGCTAGCAGATTTCTGTCGGTCTAATTTGACTCCCGGGGGTAGGGGTGGGGTGAGGGAGAGAAAGGGGGTATGGGGGGGGGGGGAAGCGCAGAAATGAATTCCATACCGCATTATGTTGAGTCCGTGTCTTGTGGACTGCTCGCTAAGACGATTCTCTCATCCTTATCTAAGTTCCCTTTTCTCATACACATGTAATATAGTCAAGAGTGCACTAATAACAACAATTCAAAATATATTTTAAAAAAAATCGGGGTTTTATATAAGCACTACAAGGGGTATCACCAATGACTTTTGTTGACAACTGATCTGGCGACGAGCCATGAAAATATTAGATTTCTAATGGAGGTTTTTGCACACATTCGTTAAGTCAGCATACAATCACGTGAACGGGTTATCAAGGTACGTCACCATACTTCAAACTGAAAGTTATCAACTGCGTCGTAATTTTTATGTTTTATACTCAATAAAGACCATACGAAGTAGGTATAAGATTGAAATATTTCATTTTTCAACTTCCAAACATCGTTACATTATAACAGCCGTCCGAAATTCAGTTAGATAAATATAATCCTCCACCTAGTCTTTATTCAAATATCACTTCCCAGTCGGTGCCTAGATGTATATTCCAAGAATGGTTATTTTTATCCAGGTTTAATCAGCTGTGAACAGTTTTTTCAGTGGGTACTAACATCATAATTTGTGAAATTCAAAATTAAATTTCTTAAAAACATCGTTATTGTATAGGGAACTCGTGTCTCAAATAGATCGCTCTAGCAATCTGAACATTGTTTGATCCGCTTTTTAAGTGTTACGTTGTTAAGGGGGCGTCAATAAATGTTAAGCAATTTATCGTTCAAATAAATATAGCACGGTAATTTGAATGTCACCGACAACAACAACAACAACAAAAATCTTCGTATCCCACACCAATATAATTTAAAAATAAACATTTTATTCCCCCTTGTGCATTTTGTTTTGTACGCTTAATTTCACTGTCGCAAGTAAACCTGACGTCGAGTAGAATACAGAAAAGCTGGTGATTGTAAGTTGAAAACAAAAGGAGGCGTGTTAATCAATAAACAATAACCAATAATGATCTAGGATCCATAGTAATGGTTAGGCTACTTTTTAAGATACTTAAATTCCAGTTATCTAAAATTACTTAAACAGCTTTATTCGAAAGCAGTGAAACGTGTTAAGTATTAAAATATGTTGCCTTCTCGAAATACAAAAATAACCTAACTGCGTCCTATTATCTTTTTTACAAGGCTATCGCAAAAGCTATAATCATGATTCACAATAAAAAAAACGACAATGAGGAAAATAGGAAACGGTAAATTCCCATCCGCAAATTATAATTTGGGAAAAGCTTAGTTTCGAAACCAATAAACATATTCCATTTCTAAAATTAGGCTGGGAAAATTATACGGGTAAAGCCAAGGCTGAATATAATACCTTGACTAGACAAATATTTTCTTTAAGGTCGTAGACACACTAGTGAACACATTCAACTCTTAGCGCAGCGGCAAGGTGTGACAACAAGGCTTAATCCAAGGTTAGTGAAGTTTACTAATTTCATCTCAGCACCTTTAAAACATTTGAGTCCACACTGTTAAAAGATGAAGAGAGAGAGAGAGAGAGAGAGAGAGTTGCACTAGAGCCCATTTTGTGCAGGTAGGCTGTGTTCATAGCATGGAAGCTTATGTCCCACGGTTGCCATGCCCCCCCCCCCTTTTCCCCGGCGGCAAAGAGATCGTGAGCACCATTTTGTCAGTCGGGAGGTAAGGCAGTCTTGTGAAGGTCTGGAGAAAAACCTCAATAGCAACGTGTTTTAGGTTTTAAAAAATTAGGTAAAAAAAATATCGGAAAAAGAACACGTTATGCAAAGCGTTTTTTTGTCTGCTCCGAACTACGTATACTCTTGACCAACTCTGGCAGCGCTTGGTCAAGAGGACTAGAACTGAATGCACCATTTGTAACTAAACAGTATGACGCCGCTGTTAAAATGAACATGTATCTGTTCGCTGTTTACGTTTTTACATTGGGTGCACGTGGTTTTGATTACTTGCAGCTTAAACGGGGGGGGGGGGGGGGGGGTTTAAATCTACTCTTATATGAGGATAATTTTCAACCTAATTTCAGAACAAGTTAAGGCCCCTTTATGGATAACTTGTGACTTATATTTTGAAGAAGTGCTGATATCGATAGGCCTACCTTATTGTGCAGTCGTTACTAAAAGTACAAATAGTAGTGTAGTGTACATCTATACGACGTCAAGATTTGACTTTTCCTCTTGTAGTTGCTCGTGAAATAATTGTAATCATTGAAAGAAGTCTATGAGCATAAGACAATACATAATTAAGCATATAACGAATAAGCAATAACAGTTACCCTTTAATTGTACTAAAAATCGAAAAAGGCGTATCTGAGACAAGTGTGACACTAACGAGTTGTAAGTAGTACCGACGTCTTTCCCCCTTGTCGGAGGATATAAAAAAAGCTACTTAAGGTTCATTATAAAGTATCGTATTTTAATCTGATTTATACTGATATGAACTCCTCTGTCACTTCAGACATTAATTAGGCTGTCTCCCGGTCCACCATGAGTCGAGCCGGTGATGGTGGTTGGTCCGAGCGCATGGCAAAGGACGCAGAGTTAAGGGCGGCAAAACGCGGAAACTGGGGGGAAGTGGACGACCCAAGCCTCATCAGGCGCTATGGGGACCGAGGACCTAATCCCTTCGCCATAATCGTCGGTGGCCTCGTTGCTCGAAGCGTCGCGAAGAGTGCGGCTACGGAGACCCATCTCACCGTATCTGCTCTCGCCGTTGAAGAGAACAGTAGTGATGTGTTTGAAGCTCCCGACGTCACCGCATGCGCACGCTGCGTAGGTGATCGCTCGCAAAATGATTACACAGCAAACAAACGGAGCAGGACCGTCTCGGAGAACTCGACAACGCCTTTGGTTGCTGATGACACAACCGATCGTGTTCCCCTTAAAAAGAAAAGGAGATTTTTTAAGAGACCACGTTTGAATATTATCTGTTCTTCTCTCGGGGGTATTGTGGCGCTCGCGTTTGTCGGAGCACTCCTCTTGGTCTTTTTGTTGTGAACGATTTGAGACAGAGACGTTTCATTCTCCTTTTTCTAATAACAGCTGATTTTTCCGGGTTGAGTAAATAATGGTGATAAGCGCACATCGTTATGGAATTGGAGCAGAAATTGTAAAAGAAAGAAAAAAAGAAAAGAGGGGATAAAAGGCTTTGTCTGCAACTACCATCAAACACAACATTAAAGTAGCTCAAACTGGTCGTCACAAACACCCGTTTATTCAATTCGGGGAAGGCCCGCGTGCATCGCTACGCTACGTATACGCACCGTCTTGCATGACGGATGTTCAATGGCTAGTTCAGCTCGTGACACTTTTAACCGCCAAGCCGTCAGATTTACTATTATCATTATCTTGTAAAAAATAACCTTGCATACAATAGGATGTTGCTTCACCTGTAAACCTATATGTATTGCCACTAGCCATAAGTTTATCACTAGGGTTGGCATAATGTCTGCTTAGGTCAGGGTTATACGGATGTTTTTTACTGGTCTGTTTGACAGCTTTTTATGTCTATCGAAGTAATTTTCAATGGATTGTTTGAATGATATAATTTATATAACGGTAAACACACTGTTGTATCTAGTTTTATTACTATTATTATTCATAATCGAGATGAAAATTAATGCCATCATGCATTCTATCTTAAGGAAACTCCGTAAGATGAACGTGTCCGTTCTTGTTTCACACTTCGAGATGTAGAAATCAAAGGAATGTCCAATATGTTGTTAAACATTTATGCACATTATTTCAATAAAGGAAATGAATTTCTGTGATAAATGACATTGTTTTTGTTTACTGAAAATCATATTGTATGAAATCAATCTGCCCGTTAAAATGAATTATCGAAATACCTGCATAATGTTCGCTGGTGCAGGTATAAATTTCGGAAATTAAATGTACAAGGGAAAGAATTCAAAGATTCCCTGATGAGACAAAAACTTTTTATTACAAAGGCTTTCAATCAAATCGTTTATTTCAGGGAGGTTTTGTTGAACATTTTAATCTATTTTTCACTCGTTTTAATGTTTTTATTGGAACAAGGATAAGCTTGACCTAGGACGCAAAAGATGTGTTTCGTTACTTCATGTACAACAAAATGTCCTATAACTCTATGTATGAATAAACTAAACAATAAATACCCATTAAATTTATTACTTCATTAACATGACATGAGTAAAACTGATGGGTTATGTTTACTTTCACATAATTGTTACCTGAAGTTTGAAACTAAACTACAATTTATAGCAGTTACAAAAAATAGCCCAAAGCTGATATGATGAAACATTGCATATTTTTATTACTAAAATTTTCAAAAATATTAAAAAAGATAATCATCAAAAGTAAAGCGGCAAATCGACATTGTTTATCAGAAAGCACCATTTCGATAAAAATCATCAAATGCTCTCATTAAATAAACGGTTATAGCTGCAAAAGCTTTAATTAGTAATATTTATTTATAATTCGCTTTTTTCACACTTCGATCATTTTAAACGTTAACAAAAAGCCACCTCAATATACAGTACTGATGACTTTCAACGAGCCAATAATACAAATGTTTCTGATATTGAAAACTATAGTTATATTATAACAAATGGATTTTAACAAAACCACATTTTAAAAAAGGTAAAAAGAAGAGGGGTGTCCCCCTTTCCCTCAAACCACAGACACATGAGCACTTATACAATATACATTTGTGTTGACCCAAAGTTTGGTTTCTCTCCTACTAGGCGAGGAAGAGGGGAGGTTGAACCCGTCATTTTGAAATGATAAAGGGGTAGGGTGGCTCGTGACCGCTCCCTATCTTTCTGACTCGCCTATCCAAACAATCAAGCTCGGCTACAGTAACAACACCAAAAGAAATATTCCCACCACTGCTACTGCTGCTGCACCACCCAAACCGCGAAAAACGCCGCTCAACCGGACACGTTTGAAAAGGCTCTTTTTAGTTTTAGGCAGTAACGGATCTTCCGAATTTTCCGAACCTGACAGTTTAACTGAGTTGTCATTATCTGGACCATACACTGTAGAATATTGGTTTGACTGAGATCCACCCCAGCGCGTTTCAGAGAATTCTGAGTTTTCCGATCCCCGGCTACGCCTATGGCGCCTCTTAAGCGGCTTTCTGTCAACTTCGCTGCTTGGCCCTTCGCTGTCGCTGTCGTGTGAATCGTACTGACTTGGCGTGGCAACATTGGCGACTAATCCAGCGAGAAGAAGACCTGAGAAGTTTGGCCCCTTCGATTTGTATACTCGCCGAAGGTGTGGGTCTTCCACGTGTTTCCAATCTCCCCGCATAGCTGCCCGCAATTCTTCATCTTTGTCCTGTCGTCTGCTCCGATCTCCGTCCCTCTCGCTTCGATTGCGCCTGAAAGCCATGGCTCCTAATGCTACTGAAATATTTGATTGATAAATTCAGTGAGGATAGTATTTGAACCAACCGGTCGCTATATATCTTTTTCTTTTTAGAGTAAGTTGTTTTTACTTATATTTCGTATCAATTGTTATTTAAGTAACCTTGTTTCCGTTATGATAATAAAATATTCTTATCTATTTGAAAATAGAAGAAACTTTATTTATAACTTGTTTATCATTAACGTATCAATCTGTTTTGCAGTAACACAAAACTTGATAAAAATTAATAAAGGTTGTCAAAAGGGATCCTAAACCTTAAAAACATTTAGCAGGGCTGCCAGATTAACACATTTTCGCGTTTTCTACAAGCACTTCTCTTCAATTCCTTTTGTTTTCATTTTTTCTATTGCTAATAACTTGATAACAGTACATCAAAGCATTTTTTTTTTCAGAAAAAAAGCTTACAATACTGACAGAATGTGCAAATGCAAGAACAAATACATAATGGTGTTGGATTACGAAAGTTGGTATCTTCAACGGCACATTTATACTTACGATGAAACAATTGTTTGCTAACGCGTACGGTGCAACAGTTTGTACTCCAGTCACGAATTAGTTCAGAATTTTTCTCTACAGCGCCTTTTATGTTAATCAAATCACATGACTGGGAAATTCCCAACATACAATGATGGGTATTTTAAGTGATCAGGAATTTTTCAAGTAAATTGCTCATAACTTCAATGACTGGCGAAAACATGGCTAAAATAACTCTCAAAAATTCCCTCTTGTTAACATAGAAGGGATTTTACGTGACTAGTCAAAGTAAACACTGGGATTTTTGGGGGTTATTTTAAAGCTGACGTAATGTTTGTTGGACCAAGGCCATTCATGTTTACCAGTGAGTCATGATGTAAACAAAACACATAGTCCCATAGATCTGTAAACTGCTGTGAGATACCTAACGGGATAATGTTCATAAATTTAATATGCCACTTCGGGTCCTATTAAAGAGCAATATGCGCGTTTTATTTTACTTTTTTTTTAATTTTTACATTCACATGTTGTGTGTCCCGCAAAGCGATGGCTCAACCCATCCCCCACCCCACCTGGACTCCCTTGTATTAAACCCCCTCCTAGGGTGAAACCCTGGGTTTGCCAATGACGTCTAATAGTCCATGCTCCCAGCCCTACCCCCTCCTTATTTACCCCCGCTTTCCCATAACCAAACCTATATCACGGAGGCAGATTTATGTCAGTTTTACCCCTGCGCCAAGTCGTAACCAAAATAAACTCGCAGTGTTACCCAAGTCTATTGTGTACCACTAAGCCACCGAAAGGTTTTGCTTTGGTGGTTTCCGTGTCAGTGGAGTGGAATAACAAGGTCAGGTGCGTTTGTGTACAGGGGATCAATTGCTATGCTTTTTAATAGTTGGCTAAGCTGACATTTCTAATAAAAAAAATCTTTCGCGTCTTTATTTTGTAGAATAGACCAGGGCAATTTCAATAAGAGATCGATTTTTTTTCTTTTTTCTTGTACATTTATATCAAAATAATGTTTTTTTTTCATTTCGTTAATCTTTTTTTTTTTGTTAGATACATGTATACTATAACGAACACGATATGCGATTTTGGTGTTATTTTCATAATTTAAAATACTCAAATCCAACCCAACATTACAACCATTAAAAGATATAACAACTCTTCATATGAGATTCACATTTCACGATAAATACATAGTAAACAACTGATAAAAATGTAATAAATTCCATTTTACCACCAAAACAGCGGTTATTGCAATTATTCTGGAATTTGTGCTTGTCATCTGACGACGAAAGTCCTCATACAATGGCTACACCTCCATACTAATCCCTTAAAACAATTTTTTTTAGAAAAAACATGGACTAACTTTGAATGTAGGAATGGCTTCCTTCACCATTGGTAAGTATGGGGAAGTTGTACTTTAGACCAGGAAAGTCTGTTTTTCCCTAAGACCTCTCTAAGTTCTATAATGCAAATGATGTGTCAACCAGCAAATGAAACGTCAATCATAGTAAGACTTGTTAAAATATATATTTGAAAAACAAATGAAAGTGGTGATTTTTTTGTCAAAATAAATCAAGTTTTGTCATGAGTCATGACTCGTGTAATATTTAAAACATTAGAATTGCATCGATTTTTAAAACAAACATACAAAAAAAGTCCTATTCGATACCACGTTTTCAAGCTCTATGTTGGGAGAGAGGGCGCTGTGATGTGTTTGTATTTGAACGCAATTTACCGTGCTGCCTGTGAACAGAAATGGTTCAGGTGGTCAGCATACAAATGAGAAGCATACAAATCAAAATCCGTTCTGATTGATTATTATCACATAGTGCCTTAGTTGAAAACAACATATTTGCAGCGAGTTTATTAATTAATTTATTCTTTTATTTATTTATTTTTTTCTCAATTCAGTAATTTAATTTCTATTTGCTTTTACATCGTTCTTACTTATTAAGTTTTATAGGATTAATCCCCATTAATTTCTCTGCAAAACTTCAACCCTTTGGTTGCAACGATTAAATAATAAATATTATAATTATCATTAAAGTCCTGGGCTTGGGACTTGATAGAGAAATAGCAGATACATAATGTAATTGTCCTGGCTGCCAAGACAATTCATGTATTGTCATAACTTTCTGACCAAAACCACGTATGCCGTGACCAAGAGTGTGATCATTGATCATTCCCCACTTTCAAACTTCAGCGAAACACTGTTTATACAAAATCGTTCACCAGTTGGCTTCGGCCCATCATTGAACACGTGACCAAGGTGGGCATTACACTGAAAATATAAAGAGAATGGCATTTAAAACCCATATAATAGTTTGGTTCTTTCATGTGAAGCGATTTTACTTTATGTGAATTAATATAAAAATGGCAAAAAGTTGAATACAATGTACATCATTGTGGTCCAATAATGGAATTTTTTTACTTAAAGATACATACAAAGTCAATTTTTTGTCACAAAAACCAACCAAATGCCAGCATATAGTTTCAAGTAGTATAACTAAGAGAATTACCAAAAGGCATTGTTTAATTTTACCCCAAAATGATGTTTGAACGAATTCTTCTGCTGGCATTCTAAGCTGTATGTCAATCGGGCAGGAAAGTAGGTCACGAATGTAGGTTAAACTTACAACCATAAATTTAAAGAAAGGAGCAGTCTAAAGGTATTTTATGACTGATCGAGTGATCTATTCAGTTTATCCCTTGGCATTTCGAATTTATTTGAGTCATATAAGAATCTAGTAGAAGTGGTTTACATGTGTTACTGGGAATCCACGCTCCACCGATGCTCGGTTCGTATGTACCTTTAAAACATGCAAGTTCAATGCATAGAATTCTCAATATCTTGTACCTGAATATTTACACATAAATTAAATATTACTTTTAAGCAATTATTTATTAAAATAGTGATGACAAAGAAGTTAAACTCATCTATTTTAAACTCATCTATATGAGACTGAAATTAACGTCACTGGCTTTGCCCCTAAATCAGTCATCATTACACGTTTCAAATGTCATACCATTTCAAAAATTCTGCACGTTTACATTTTCACGCAAATAAAAACTATCCAAACTAGTTCTCCAACTCACATTTTTACAGAGCACTTCCACCCTCTTCATGCCGTGAGAGTCGTCTGGTCGGCGGAGAACATTTGTCTTGGATTCATCTCTGTTGTTTGCACCAAGAGCCGTATGGAAAGATGGCCAGCCACAGTGAGACTCAAACTTTGCTTCTGAGCTAAAAATTGAATAAAATAAAATAATAATTTATAAAAAAATTTAATTACTTAATAGAATCAAAATATCCTTGACCAGTAAATTAAAAAAAATAAATAAATAATAAACAGCCAAGAGAAACATAAGATTTTGCTGGGGGATCAAAGACACCATATCAAGGTAGAGATCCTCTGAACAGTATATCACTTGTGGCTAGGAGTCTTATTTCCCTGCTTATTCATATCCTTTCACTCTACATATATTCACTATCATTAATTTTATTAGCACGCCAAGGAAACCTAAATTAAAGGAACCAGTTATTGGTAAAATTTTACAGTACATAAGTTCACCAAATATCCTCCAAATTATTAATAGTCTACTAGTAGGTGCTTCTTTAGCCAAATGTTTTTCAACTTATCAATTCTTTTTTTTACGTGGGTGTGAGTCTCACCTGAATAATTCTGACCCACAACATGTGCACTTGTAAATGCCCTTCTCAAAATGGCTATTGTAAATACCAGAGAAAGGCTGAAAGTGAAAAAAAATAATAACATAATTAATGTAACAGAAATCATTAAAATATAACAGTAAATTCTCATTTACTGGGTACACCTGGCAGCCCCTACAAGTGCCTGATTGCACCGATGCAGCAGAGAGCACACCTAATGCAATCTCAGTCAAACCACTATCTCTCCATATAATTAAGGGAAAAAAAACAAGTTAAAAAGAAAAATCTTCTTCATTGTGTCCTTTATATCTATCTATATATATATCTGACAAAAAATAAATTAGGAACTCATAAACTCCATTAGGAGAAAGAAAACATGTTCAAGTTGTTTGAAGGGGAAAGGATGTCTGAAAGGGGAGGGGGGGTACCACAGAGTGACTTTCAATAACAATAAACAAAACAGTAATAAAATTAAAATATAATTGAACTTGGCAATGTAACACAGTCTTAACCCTGCCTCAGCACAGTATATTAAATCTATGGCTGGTTATAATTTCTTCAATTCTGCTTAAATTTAACAACATTTGTTTTTTTTTTTAATTCATGAATTCTTTCCCCCGCTATGAGCTGTTTTCAGTTCATAAGGCATATGATACTGGTATGCATGTACCACTTACGGGTTCAGTACCACTCTCCCTGGTTACATAATACTGCTCTGGTGTCAACCTCTTCACCCACTCCTCTTTACTAACACTGGCAAAGTCTGTCTTTTCACAAGACATTCCTTCAATAGATATATAACAAAGAATTGGTTCATTCAGTTTATTTTCGTGTCACACTGGTGTCTGCAGTGGGTTATAATTCATAACCTGGTATAGGGGACTTAAATGGTTGGGTCATTATAATCATACCTCAGTAATAGTCAGTATATTTAATTTTATAAAACAAGGTATACTAAAAAAGTGAAATATACATGTATTGTGCTCCTAAATGCTAATGTCTGAGTAATGAAATATCTGTAGCACTTATATTTGTTGTATAAGATAGGTGTGAAGCCTCTTATTTATTTTTTTGACTAATATTTCAAAAAATATTTTTTTGACAAATATTATTGTTCTTGTCACAGATTGCAGTATCCAGAAAACAAATACTGGAACATATACTACATGCACTTCTACTACTACTGGGTACTAGTCTATTGCTACTGCGAAAGTAATAAGGGGTTGGATTTAAAGTTTAAGTGAGAATAATAATTGAATACAAAATTATTTTGTATTGGATGTAATACAACTTGTCTGTGTGTGTGCGTGTGTGTGTGTGTGTGTGTGTGAGAGAGAGAGAGAGAGAGAGAGATCGGGGAGGAAGAGAGAGAGTCGGAGTGTTGAACTTACTGCAAGTTGTGTGCATAAACCGCAAGGCTTTATATCTTCTGTAATAGCACGGAATACTATAACATATCTGTCGCTTAGTTAAAGTATAAACTGATCCACTGAGCACTCTTCGAGACAAGATTAAACACGCACCAACTGCTGCTGGTGCCATTATATTTGGCGAAACCGCTTTGCTCCATGTAAATAGGTCAACAGACGGTCTCGATTCGGTTTGATAACTTCCGGTTTCATTGCGTAAGGGACCATCTCAAAATCCTTCATAGTTAAAAATAGGTTCACCCTACCTATTCATTCTAAAGTGTGAAAGTTTGCCTAGACTTAACTTAATGACTCCCGATACTTCAAAACCTCAGCTTTCTTTTGTTAGGGCAGATTTTTTTTCAACTTAATTTGATCTGGCCGTGGGGGAGACCAGCTAGGGCACGTCCGGTGTCACGTGAATAAATTAACCGTCGTCGTGATTATAGATTAGTAGAGAGCTTTCGCAACTGCACGTTTAGGCGACCGACTACATTTAGCTATCCGTAACCATAAAGTGACCTGTTGCATATTGTAATGTAATTAACATATCTCCCATAATGCATTGTTCTTTCTCTACCAGTTAGCCAGCATGGCTGGATGTGTTATATGTAATAAATGAGTTATTAAAAAATGTTAACTTGAGTTACATAACAACAGAAAACCGCGACATGGTGTCAGAATCGGGATCTACATTGGATGTAGCATAATTTGGAGATTGGATGACCCACAAACTACAAGATAAAAACGGATTTTGAATCACTAAAAAAAAAAAAGGGAAAAAAAATGGAGCACATGTATGGGATACAGCCGCCTCACATGGACTGGGAATCCATGGACTTACCGCGTACGTTCAAACTTTTCAAGGAAAAGTGTGAATTGATAGATAAATATGTATATCTTCAACTTTATTGAACTAATCTAGTTGATGATGGACACCTGGAATGATAGGCCTACATATAAAGAGCACTATTAGATATCTAGCTATCTCCTTCCCCCGGGGGAAGTTTTATACGGGCATGTATAAAACGTCACTTATATGCCAGTCCTCATTCCTCTTTTTTTTAAAGTCCTCTGTCTCCTCCCCTGGGGAGCTTTTAAAGTTTGTGAACATGGGTCCTCCATAGTCCTTTTCAAAAGTCAATTGTAATATGGAAATTGAAGCAACAACAACAACTTTTAAAAGCTATATGCCAAAAGAAAATCAAATTAAATATCTAGCTAAAGTCATTTAAAAAAAATCAAGTATTATGAGACTTCAAGAAGAGTCCCTGGTTGAAGCTGGTTTCCGAGTTTCCTGTATGTCAGTCTCTTTAGAATGACGGCTTGGTCTGGATGGAGTAAGCATTTCTGTGGTGCCTGGCTTGTTATGAGGTAGCAAACGGGCTAATGCACGTGGCAAACCACCACTGGTGCGCTGCTTGGTAACAGTAGGGGCATCCTGGCCACTGGGATCTAGGGCACTCAAATCTGGCTCTTCAGATAATTGCAATGGAGTAGAAGCATCCTGGTATGGCACAGTAGGTTCATCTGGATTTTTTGGCTGTGTGACCTGTACAGGGTTGTCATGGGTTTGCTTCTTACCCAGATGAAGGTCACCAGGTTCGTGATGGACCAACTTAGTGGGTTGCTCAGGCACTGTGTTCTCCTTGAGGGCCATCTCAATCATGGGGAAGTTGTCACTGGTAACAAATGGAGTGAACTTCCTAAGATGCTGACGGTTGCGGATAGTCACCCTGCCTGAACCATCTACTTTGATGACATACTGGTGGTGCTGTCTTACTTCAATTACTATTCCAGTTCGCTCCCACTTCCGGGGATAATTTCCCACAAGGTTCTGTAAGTACACATGATCTCCAACCCTCAATGGTGGTAAGATCCTAGTATGCTCACTCCAGCGTTCATGCTCTCTGGAATGACGTTTTGCAAGTGCTCTTTCTCGATGTGACATCAGCTCTGCCCATGTTTCATGTGGGGAATACCTTCCCATGGGTATTGGAGTGGCATCGCGAATAGGCCGTCCAAATATAATTAATGCTGGGGAGGCCTTTGTTTGTGGGTCAATAGAATTTCTGTACATAAGCATGGCTTTCTGAAACTTGTCAACATCAAGGGATCCTGTTGGGGCTATATTGTCTGCAAGCATTCGCTTCACAGTTTTGACAGCTATCTCAGCTCTACAGTTAGAATGAGGGTTGGCAACTGACGAGATTCTTTGTTTAACACCCCAGGTCTTAAGAAATTCTTGTGTTTTCCCCGCAGTAAATTGTGGTCCACCATCTGAGGTTAACTCCTCTGGTATTCCAAATGTGACGAAAGTTTCACGCAATCTTAATTCTGATTAGACCCTCTGCGCCTCCTTCTGCTTTAAAAGCCATTGGCCAATTGGAATAGCGGTCGACAATGACAACATAATCTTTACTGTTGAATGTGAAGTAGTCACAGCAGATCATCTGGAAAGGGTAGTCTGGTTGTTTAATATCAGATGGTGGCTGCATCGGGTTTGATTTAGCCATGCGATGACAATGTGCACATTGGTCCCTAACTCTAGCAATGTCAACTGAGATATTGGGCCAAAAAACAGAGTCTGCTGCTCGGGACTGCATAGCACTTATACCCTGGTGAGCTGCATGGAGGGCATTGAGGATTGGTGTGCGTAAGGCCCTTGGGATAACAATTCGTTGACCCATGAGTATCACTCCATCAACAACACACAGGCTTGCTGTGTGACGGTGGTATGGACGTATCTCAATGGGGAGTTCTCTGCAATCTTCTGGGAAGCCTTTCTCAAGGTATTGCATTAGTGTAAGTAATGTTGCATCTGAAGAGGTGGCGTCTCGGACCATATCCCAGGTGACAATAATGTTAGCAGCATCCAGTGAGGCAGACGCAGCAGCAATGGTGCAAGCATCATCAGCAAAGTCTGTGTCTGCTGTGTCTTGGTATAGACTAGCCAATGTGACCTGTGGAGGCACAGTCATGTAGGATATGGTGTCACTATCAGATGGTTCATTTGGTAGATGCATTCTACTTGGCCGACCAGCAGGGTGTCTGGATGCTGCATCTGGGCCGGGATTCTTCTTCCCTGGGACATGAACTATGGTGAATCTGTATGCTAGTGTCTTTTCTTTGAGATTGAGTAGTCGCCTGTTGTGAATTTCGGTGAGTGACCTATCATTTAGCACCTGAACCAGTGGTTTGTGGTCTGTGGCAACAATCAAATCTTTACAGCCCAATACATAGTAGCGAGTCTGATGCAATGCATAGGCCACGGCCAGGGCTTCACCCTCTATGGGTGCATATCTGCTTTCTGCTGGGTGGGTAAACCTGCTTCCTACCAAGCATAACTTCCAGCCACTGACAACATGCTGGAGTTTTGGAGGTGCATTGGCAATACTTTTGCATCAGGAAGAATCCAACTCCATCAACAGACCAATCAGTGGACAGACATGTTTGGCGGTTTGGATCAAACAAACGCACTCCTTCTTTCATCTCTTCTATAATGACTTCTTTGGATTGGTGGAACAGGTTGTCCAACTCATCTGTCCATTCAAATTTTGTGGATGGCTTTAGGAGCTTCCTGAATGGCTTCATCTGACGTGCCATTGAGAATGCATAAGCGCCTTGATTAATGAGCCCAAACCAGGCTCGGGCACCACTGATATCCGTAGGTGTTGGGAATTTCCTTATGGCATCTATAGATTTGTCACTTGGTTGTATGTTCGTAGGTGTGATTGCAAGACCAGCAAATTCGACTGCATCTTGGGCGAACTGAAATTTCTTGGGATTCAAGGTTATACCATTACGTGCACACAGGTCTAACCACTTGCATGCTTGAAAGAATGCCTCTTCAACTGAGTTTGCCCACATGCATGTATCATCTACACACTTGACTTTATTAGGGAAGTCTGTGATTATGGCATCAAATCTCTGGTTGTAGGCATCTCCACTGGCTAAAAACCCCTGAGGTGCTACCTTGTATCTGTAACAGCCCCATGGTGTGATGAATGTCGTGATATGCCGGTTCTCCTCCCTAATAGGCACAGAGTGGTACCCATTCCAGGCATCCGTCATAGTTTTTTTTAACACCCTGTGGGATGTGGTTTGCTAAGTGAAAGGGGGTAGGCACATGGTGTGTTTGGCGGACAGAGTGGCGGTTCAGTTGCTGTAAGTCTACTGTTCGCCTAGGAGTGCCATCAGCTTTTCCCATTACTACCATGCGGGAACACCATGTTGTTGGGGTATTTGGGCTGACTCGTTCAAGGACCCCTATTCGGACATCCCTTTCAAGATCAGCAAAGACCCTCTCTTGCCAGTGAATTGGAACAAGTGCCGGCTTATGGACTGCGACCGGTTTGGCATCTGGATCCACATGAAGTTGGAGCGGCTCACACTTCATCAGGGGTAATGGCTGGTGTTCACACGTATTAAATGTTGTTGCTCCATAATAGTCGAGGAGCCAATCTTTAAGCACTTCAACATTTTCTTCCAAAGCCTTTAAGCCAGGGGGAAGAGATGTGGGTAATGGTGGTGGCTCCTCTCTGCGCCTTGGACATGTGCACGGAACTTCATCAGTGGGGCCAATTGAAGCTGTGTGTGTTGTATGCGTGGCACTCGGAAAATCTGGCTTAATTATCCCCAAGTCTGTCAGTGCCTCTCTGCAGAGGAAGGCTTTCTCAATGGATTCAGACACAAACAAGCGAGACATTCTGATGTGATTGTTTTCATCTTTGACAGAGACACTGACAGCAATGCCACGCATAACACCCAGATTCTCTTTGATGGCACCTCGCATCACAAGTTTAACAGGCAAGAGGTCTTCTTTCCTTATGCCTAGAGCCATAGCCGACTTCAGTGGTATTATGCTGCTCTGACACCCTGTATCCGCAATCATGGACATGTTGACTGGTTTAAGTGTTGACGTGTCTTGCATCGGATACCCAAAAGCAGCATGGTCTGCAGGTAGAGGGGTCATTCTCACTAAAACCATTGGGTGCGGTTTTGATGGGCGAGCTATCCACTGGCCATCAAATATGTGGTGATCAAGTAATGCAGTCTTGTTGGGTTTATGTCGCCTGGGCGGATTGTTTTTGGAAGCCGTACACAGCTGATCAAATACATAATTGGTGTCAGCGTGGTCCGTACCCTTAGTTTGACCTGT